GATTAGGGTGTTTTGTGTCTTTTATTACCTAGTATTTTGAAGAATAATGTTCCACAAAGCTTCATACAGATAGACCTGCAAAAGTTGTGCTCACAATACAACTATTTGTGCCGCAACTATTCAAGCGGCTCTGTACAATCATGTAAACGCTTTTTAAATCATGACAATGAATCTACGTTTGATGAGCCAAATGCTTGTCTCGTGTAACTTGAAGTTTACAAAACAAATAAGGCATTCATCGGGCTTGCAAATGATACTTATATCATAAAAGCAACATAGTTTCCCTAATTCCTTGTGTTTTTTTTTTTTTTTAGTTCACCGGTTTGTAAAGACTTAACTTTTACACTTTTCTTGGGCTTGAGTTGAATTGAACTTCGGTACAGAAGATATAAAGTCGTGGATTTCCATGATTTATAAAGGTTGACCGCCCAAATAACTCATTAAAGTGCATTAAAGTTTGTTCGTGAGGCTGGAAGGTAATAATAATTGTACATAACGTTGACGATGAAATAGTTTCATGCCTACAGATGTACCACAACCTCCGACTGCAGGAACTAGTTAACTATCAGAATGGGAGGATGTCAAGCTATAATCATTTTTATTTCAGTCTTTTTTAAGACACTGCAGTAGCCAGATGCAGTGATCGTGTGTTTCCACTGTCTTATAAACTGTCTGATAGTTTCAGTTCCTGGACCCGGACATGGACTCCGACACATGGATTTTGACATGTAGTGTCTGGATATATACGACACGATTTTGGAAAAGATCTCTGTCTTTTTATAGTCTTGTCTTTCACAGTAGGTGAGCAAATACACGTAATAAGTGTCAAGCTACATCAATCTTCAGTAGTTATCACAATTTTCAACTGTCTCCACGCGTCATACCGTGTTCTCTTCTGCACAAGTTCCGACGAGAACCCCACGTTCTGTCCATGCACAGAGAAGACAACAATGGAATTTTTGATTTCTTTTTAATTATAATAACATATTCATGTAATGTGCGACTTATAAAGAATTGATTTTAAAAAGGTTCAATGATCATTCTTAACAGAAACATCCAATTTGACACCAGCCAAGTTGCACAAACAATAAGATATAAATACAAATACAATCATAATGGAAACACTCCTTCTACCAACCCAACAGTCGTGTCAATCTACTTTATCCATAAAATGGCATCATATCAGGCTCTAATGGACTAATCCTTGAACACATTAACAGGTTGATGTCAAGTTTACAAACTTAGTTTATACTGAAAATAAAAACCAAGTTTTATTAGACTGAATGCAACGTCTAGCAGAAGGCTAAAATTTGTCTTCATCAATCGTACCAACCGGCACTTTTGTTCGTTTATTTCCAAGAGTGTATATAAAGTTATGTGTGTCATTGTGTGCACTGTGCGCGAAATCAAACATGTCTGTTTTGAGCAAAAGCATTTTTCCTCAGAGACACTGCTTGACCAGGCAGTAAGAAGGTAACGCCTTACTACTAGAGAGAACAATAATTTAGTTCATTGGGGAAATATCCTAGTCTGTACCGGCTGGCATTAGGGACACTTCGTGCTCATAATGGCAAATACATAATGTACAGACTTTGGAGCAAAATAGATTTTACTTTCCGTATCAGCGTGTGCACCGTCAGGTGGGAACATATCGCTACACAGCTTACAAATAACCTTCGCAGAAACATGTAATGTTCTTCACGTTTAGTGACCAATGTGGAGAAAGCTGGATAAGAGGCAGATCATTCACGAAGAACTTTAAGCTTGTCTGAAACTGAGAAGTTTGTTGCACACGGACTGTTTAACCATTGCCAAGCGAATTCCGGGGGAAATATTACAGATATTTTGTAGACATATACTCTGTACTAACGTACCACTGGTCTGTCCTCGGATTGTAGATATTTTGGCCCACCAGATATTTTGGTCATTGATTCCTGGCGGTTGTTGCCTGCAGGGCCCAATGTGACAGACGGGCCTGGTCCAACAGTGGACTCTCGGAATTTGTTAAAACTGAAACACTGGGATTAAGCCGGAATGGTAAAAAGCAGCATCACCTTATTAAAATGATTAAAAGACTATTTCTAATCTAGAAAGAAATGTTTTTGTTCGCAAAGATGGTCAAAAATGGTCGCCATACTAATGGCTGTGATTCACTATGATGTGGACAATATTCAGCAACAGCAAAGATCAGAAGTATGGTTGGTAGGACAAACTGTCACTCAGATATGTAAGTTCCGTTTTTTTCTAATTCTTATTAGGAGTGGAGATCATATATAATGGCGGAAGGAGCAGAGCAGGTCAGCTTGTGAATTGAAGTATAACGTGAAGAAGCAAACATCACAGCGAAACAAAGCCAGACTTGCACATTGTCGCCAGACAGAAACGCGACTTTTTCCTTACGATTAGAAAGGAAAATGCCTATCGTGGAACGAAATGGCTTCAATGTGACTCAAACTCAGTCATATTTTAGGGATATGCGAGTCATACCGTCATCTGGCACAGCTGAATTTTCCAAAGTGTTTCTTCTCAAGTCTTCGTGACAAATTTGTCAGGATGGGGATAATAAATGTTGCAATTTATTCAATATTGTCGTCCAACTCTTGATAACCAATTGCTGAAGTTACATTGTACCTTAAATTATTAACTAAATCCTGGTTAAAGCCAGGCAATCCTAGCTTCCTCCAGGCCCCTTTGAGGACTGAAAGAACAGTTGAAATTGGCCAACTGGGGTGAAACAAAACAAGAGATTGTCGAAAAGACCCATCGAACTTATAGTCCATAGTCCTACATTTGCCGAAATTATGCGTCGATATTTCTCGTGACACATGTAAGGGTAAGACTAAGAGTGCGCTGCGATGTCCAATGGCTGAAACCATGGAGGTCCATGCTGAAACCTATGGCTACTGCGAACTCACGAACTTATTATGTTTATTATTTACCAGGCTTAGCTTTTGCTAGTTAGGAGTCTAGAATGCATGGCATCAGAATAAGTAACATGAATACATAAACGTGAGGTATTTTGTTGTAAACCCATGACCAACATCCTCTTACTTCATCGTTTACAGAATGACTCGTGATGTCCAGTCTGGTGAATTCGTTTCCTTTTTTCAAGAACTGTGATTACGATATAACTCACGACTTCAGTTCAAACTGTTGCAGTGTTCATTGTTGAGATGACTTTTGCATGTCGGGGAACATCCGGCCTCTGACTCGCAGCCATGTTGACTATACATGTATGTTATTGGAATCAATGAATAACCCTACAATGTATTCACACTAACTTCAACCACGAGGTACAAGACACTGTCTAGCCTCTGCCAGGCCTCGAGAAGCGGCTTCAAAGAGTAGAAATTGGCAAAATAGACTGAGAACATGCCAAGGAAGTTGGTCCGCTAGAAAGTACAGTTTGTCGCTCCTGAAACTGTACTCTTTAGCGGACCAACGCCCCTTGCATATTATCTATTTGACCAATTTCTACTCTTTCCAGCCGATTCCCGAAGCCTGGTAGAGGCGAGATACTACCATTGGCAACATGGCAACTGTTATGTACCCTATTGTGTTGATGGTAAGACAAGTAGAAGGCAGGTTTTGCTGTAATGATATTTGTACGACACCCGGAGTATGGCTCCGGTAGTTCAGTGTGCAGTGTCCGTGTTCCTCTGTGCACGCCACCACCATGTTGATGTGTAAACAGCTACATTGTCATATTCTTCACCAGGAACGTCGCTCGGTTGAAAAATGAGGACGTCCCACGCAATGTCCATCAATCATCTATTGATTCTCACAAGACATCATATGGAAGAATTTTGGAGCATAACGACGCAATGGAAAACAGAAACCATGAGCTATGGTCAGTAAAATATACTGTTGGGAGCAAGGCCTTCATTTGTCTATAGAAAACAAATATTTGTGGGTGGAACTTCCTAGGAGAGTCGGATGTATTCCTATACTGTCATTGAAATAGGCCTTCTGATTACGCCCAATACGTGGATGTATTCCGATCTCGGGGATTGTGGATCTCAAATGGCAAAACATCTGAATGTTTTTGTCAAACACACTCGCAGCACAATTCTGTGCAAGTTGTGCTCCCTATGCCGCAACTGTTGAACAGAGTCTAATGTCAATTCAATGAACTAGTATAACATAAAACTAATGGCATACACCAGTTACACATACCACACGACTGTCATACTCAGTTGGTAAAAACAAGCAGTAGTAAATAGCTGTGCTGCCTGGCAAACTGTTTTAAAAGGGACCAGCGCCAGACGTAAGGACTGAGGTAGGTAAGATTTGAGCTATTGCATGTTCATTGCGTGTTCAAAAATTCATTCTTTCATTCAATCTATTGCAGAGTGGAACTCGCTGTCACCAAGTACAGTAGGGGCATTATCATTAGATAGCTTTAAAGAATGTTTAGAATTAGATGTTCAAGGGTTAGGTGTAACAAGTCCTTCGGTGTAACATAGCCAGCTGCTGCCGTGCCATGTTCCTGCAAAGCTGGTGTGTTACGCCGAAGGGAAGTTCATAAGTAGTAGTTTTTAAACATGCTAGAAGTGTGGCACCCTTGAAACACTAGACTGACAGCTCAACTCCCTCTCCAGCAAGAAGCAAATCAGGACTTTATAAACCCAAAAGTTATGCCAGGATTCAAAACCCAAAGCCAGAAGTGGGCTTACCAACCATTACAGCATAGCATTCGTTTGCAATAGGCATGCATTTAAGCATTCATACAAGTAGGGTAACAGACATCCTCAACTGAGCTGAAGTGTGATAATTTTTTAAGTAGATTGTAGTGCAATGTTGCACCAGTTCAGCTATGGCTTGTGTTTTTGTCATGTACACTGGATCACATACTCGTACACTGGACAGACAGCCTGAAGTCCCGTCCAAAAGGACGACTGCAATCTGCACCAAGTCATGCCAGGCTCAAACCCCCAACCTCTGGCTCCATGGAACTTGATCCATGGTTATAATTATGGAAGGGAAGCCACAGAGAGTCATCAAGAACCTGATGCTTTATTGGAATGACTCACGGCCATCAAACAAATCTCCATTTGCATCTATAAAAAGTATTTAGATGATACAGGTTCATTTTGTACACAGATCTCTTAGAGTACTTCAGGAGAAATCTTCATAATCTTAATTGTCCTGTAGTAGCAATATCAATATTGTAACATCTGAAGTAGAAAATAGGTAGTATGTGGAATAATATCATTGTAATACATGAAGAACTATTACATGCACTAAGCAGAGGTAACCCAAGCATGGTGACTGACATTTTGCCAGTTATCACCTGCATTGTGGCAGAAAGCAGCTTATTTGGAAAAGAGGCTTCTATTCTTATCCCTGCACAGAAGTCTTATGATTTTACCCATGTCCGTCCTTTCAGTTGCTAATTGTATGATAACTCATTGTATGACAACTCGTAATGACAAATATCTTATAATTTTCCTGGTTTTCAGTTTGCCTTTACCAGAGGACAGATAACTACACATGGGAAACATGTGGATCCAGTTCAAATGATTCTTCAGAACATCAAATGAGTAATATTTTTGTAGTTCAGCAATAACCCACCAGAGGGTGCTTTTCTCAAGACCTGTTTAGATATGTGGGAAAAGTGTGGTCAAGTTCATAATTTTATTAAACAGGTGTAAATGGGAATATTGTATCTCCCAAGGATACAGTTTTGGACAAAGACAACATGACAACTGCACACATAAATGTCCCGTCCTTCAAGTCCACGTACTTGACATTATGTCAGTGGACAAGCATGAATGTGTAATGTTGTGCAGTACTAATGTGAGCAGACAGGGGGAGATGTTCACCAAGCAGAGTATGTAAAATTTGGTGACATGATAATGCCAAGTCCAAACACAGGGTATCAAATTGTAGGAAATGGATTCCCCCTCATCCAGATCACAAATAGACCTGAATTTTCCCCTATCCTAACCTGAAATTATTCAGGTACCTTGAAACTTTCTGTCTAAATATTGATTTATATCTGCATCTGCATCTAGGAGTCCCTAAAACATGAAGGTTGTAAGGGGAGCTAGTTGAGACCTAAAGCCTACATGTATGACACAATTTACAGGGTAATGAAATGACGACCCCCACCCCCTGACTAGCCTATGAGTAACCCAAATCCAAAGCGAGCCTGGTTCTTTGTGTGGTTGAGCATGCCGCTAAGCATAAAGGTGAAGGGGAGAGGTTGGAGCTTTTTCTCCAGGACGGCTGCTACTGTCCAGTTACTGTCCAACATTCCTGCAGGGAGAGAAACAAAGTTACCTTACCAAGAGAGTAAACTTACAGAATTGTTTAACCATATCTCTGGTCTTCTCCAGTCTAACTGTCCAGATTGTTCACATTACATGACCTTACAGAAATGTGTGACATGAGTGATGGGTCAAAAGTGGTTGGAAGTCACCCCCTTTCCAGTTTAGTAACAGTTGGCACAGTATTTTGTTATCTATGAAAAAGATTAACTTCTATACTAATACAATGTTTATCATCTGTCAGCTTTCAAGAACACCAATCAGCATTCACTACCCATTACTAGGTACAAGTGCATCAGTCAGCATTCAGTATGCATTCTTCAACACACACTGCCACTTATCAGCATTTAGCCTATTTTAGGGGACATTGCTTGATATGCACATCTGATAAATTAAGGTTTGCTGGATCACAAAGCAGCACCAATCAGAATTCAGTACACATCACTTGATACTCCCAAACTACCAATCAGGAATCATAACACAAACTATAATACACAAATGGCCAACTGTCAGGATGCTGAATACTTAGCAAGATTGACATACTGGCCCCAATCAACATTCACAATACACAACATGATACAAATAGGAACCAATGAGCACTCAGCACACATAACTTGAAGCATGCACTGTAACCATCAGCATTCACAATACACAACATGATGCACGTTGACACCAATCAGCATTAAAAAAACATTCCATCTCTAATAGCACAGATCTTTACAGCACATGCTATTCAAGTCTCTGTCAGAAATCTTATCTTGCATTCGCAGCATGACATAAACTTTGCTTTCTCAGCTGCCTGTAATGAACATACTACTTAGCCTCATGGCTGGAAACAGTTCTACCAATAAACCAATCATGTATACACTGCATCTGTACATGTCTGAACAAGGTGGTTTCTTAGGGTGAAAGGTTGCAAAGAAGGACAGTCTTCAGTGTCCTTTTCTGCAGACAATGAAAGCGAGAATTTGAAGTGGTAAGACCTAGCACTACATGAATCACACTGTATCTTGTCATGAGTGACATGATGCCTTACTTACCTCTGAAAACCATATTTGCCTTTGGTACATCCAGCTGGTACCCCAGACTGACTGCACTCTCCTGTGCCCTGAGGTTTGCCTCAAACTCCACACCAACTTGTACATACTCGTTACCTGCAGCAGAAATACACAGGTGAGTCTGCATAGATAACAGGAGTGTGATGTTCAGTCTATTTCAATCCTCCATTAACTTGTACAAAGTCGGTCATAGACTCACTGGCAAGCCAGCAAATTATGACAATTTCACACTAAACATTGCATTGCCGTCAGAACAGAATTAAATTTATTTCATTCTGATACATGTTCATGACATATGTCACATACCAGTACTGAAGGTTTTCCCCTAAAATATCAGTGTTGTTGAGATTGCCTGAAGAGAAGAGTGTACCTTGATGATAGTAGCTTGCATGGCACCCAGCTCCACCCAGGTTACCTGTGGCTATCCAGTTATCACCTGTGGACAGGAGGGGACAGAACTTTCACAATGCAGATAACAGGTCAGCTTTGATCTATTCCTGTCTGTTCAAATAAACACATTACCTCCAGCATAGATAAACCAGGTGGTACAGACAGTGTTTCTTCCCCAGGAGGAGATTGTAGAAAATGTTCCATGAACTGGAACACTCAATGAAAAATGCATTTTTCAGTTTGGATGATGCAAGAATTTTCCATTATGATATGAGACCACATGAACACTTGAGGTTACAAATCCTCTACCAGACACAAGGACTGATGCCGCTACCTGTGTATCTGCCTGCTACAGTGACAATGGCTGCCTCCTGGCCCTGGGTGTGGTGATACAGCAGCTCAGCTCCCAGCGCTAACCTCTTGGTTATCCGCTGTAAGTAGTGCGCCACTACGATCCCGCTCTCGTTCACAAAGTCGGGGTTTCCCAACGTTACACTTGCCGTGTAGTCGTCTCCTCTGTAGTCTGCGTCCAGCTGGACCATGGCCCACTTGGACTGTTGTGTCTGTTGGACAGTTAAACAAGACACTGTACAGTTAAAACATACTGTAGCTCAACAAATTTTCTCTTAGATGTAAGTACCACCTTAGTTTCATGTCTTCTGCATAATGGCATAAGCACTGTACATCATGGAATGGGGAAGAGAAAAAAACCAAAGGACACTTTATTCTTACCTGGACCACAGCTTTTGTACGAATTCTATTTGTGATCTGATGTATCATTTGGGCATTCAAACTACCAGAGGTGTCTATATCTCCCAGAAGGACAGGGTATGCCTGGAAAAGAAGACATAGCAAACTTATAGATATGATATTCTAATGACAGAATAATATTGATTGTGTAACATTTAAAAAAATTATAGGATTATTCTACAGAACAATTTGTAGATAAGAACTTTGTCCAAACACACAACTTGGAATGAGGTTTCGTGCACATGAAATAGGTAGGTTGGTCACATGACAACTTGTAAAAATTTATTTGCAACATACATGTACATGGAGTAGCTCACCTCTGATGGACTGATCTGTTTGGTACCGACATATGTGGCACCAAAATGGTAGGAGGATGGCCCAAACGCACACAGGGAGATAGTGTGGTTGACTTGGAAGTGGTTACTGATGCCCTTGTTCACAACCAGCTTACAACCTTCCATAGGGTTGGGGAAGACTTCTGCAAGCAACACATGGGCACAGAGATACAGGTGAAGACATGGTATAACTGGTAAAAATCAACATGTGCAGCATGACACACCATGACCAGGTCTATAGTTATAAGTTGAGTACAGGCTGTATTAGGAGCCAATTGGCTTAAGTCATTGCATACCAGCACATACCTCAACTCTTTCCTGAAACCCTAGTGACTTTTTTGAACCATTAAAAAAATCAAAGGCTGATGTTTCAAGTATTGGTAAATAGTACTATTGATTACATCATCAGCCTTTCAATACATGTGCTTGATAGGGCTTTCAATATATAAGCAAATATATTGGACCATGACACAATTGATTGTGTAGCACTAGACCACTCAGCACTATTTGTAAATTGCACTCTATACAGTATACTGTTGACTATACTGTTGACTGGTTTGTAATTTTCCAAGACCAGGGTAACCAGAAACAGCTGTACACATGTTTTATGAAACTTCAGATTTATGGTTTGAAGTGACAGATTTTCTGAATTGATGTCATACAAAAGACACATGAAGAACAGGACAATTTTCAGATAAGATTTTTTTACCAGTTAAAGCATGACCTCTAAAGCTAGTAAAGGTATATCAAAAATCGAAGATGAAGACAATCCATACAAGAAATCGATACCCAAACCTCCCATGGGTGTAAGTGGCAGGAAAGCACATTTAGTTGATAGGTAGATCAGATCGACAGTGAGAATTAGCTAAGAAATACGACAAAAGAGTACCATCATATGCACGTGTAAAATTATGGGGTGTAGGGTGGGGAGGGGGGCAAAGAGTATATCAAACTTGTATTCAATTTTCAGTCAACTGTATTTAGATCCTTAATCTAACGACAAAATACCTTTGCATTTCTTGTGCAGCTCATCGAATGTTCCCGGGTTGGTTGTTTTGTCGTCTGTTTTCTGTTCGGGCTGTCCCGGCGCCGGTGACCCAGCAGCGGCACCTTGTGCAGATGTGGGGGGAGGAGGAGGGGGGAAGGCACCGAGGTTTGGAACCCCCTGGCCCGCCGTCGGGCCCGGACCCGCTGCTAAAACATTTCCCATGGCTGTCCCTGTATATTATCGTTAACGATGAAGCAGGTACGGAGGGCGAACGCGCGACAAACGGAGAGAACTGGAGCCGTAAAGCTGAAGCAGTCGATGACTACAATGTCAAACCGCCGCCATGTGCAATCCGGCGAACCAAGGAAATGGAGGTCATGACGTCAGAGTTCACTTCCGGGTCAAACTCATCCATACGGTGAGATGGGCAAAAAATCCAATCCCAGACATGTCACTACGATTGTCTAATATGCAATGATAACTACCCAAGAAATCATTAAGGGACCCAATAAGATATGGTAGCTATTAGCATACGCAGGCTTAAAATCGCCATCAAAGATTCACTCATAGTACTTTTCTGCGCTTTGATATCACTTCGCTGGGAGGCGTTTCTACCATGTTCCTCTGATTGTCAAGCAAGACGTAGCAATCATGATGCTTTCATCTGATGCACTCAAGTTGATAGAGGAGTAGAAGTGCAATGACTCGTATTTTCAGTGAAGCACACAGGGTCACCCCTACTCTTTTGGTGTGTTGGGCTCTTTAATGCCTGAAGCCCGCTGTTTAGTAAACATAAGTTTGTAATTTAGTTGGTTTTGTTGATGTAACAATGTTGCAACAAATGTTATTAAAGGAGTACTAACCTCCAGAAGGAAGTGCTATTTTCCGATACATCATGCTGCAATGAATACATAACTAGCCGACTTTTTACATAATTTCGCTTGTACGAGTTGCGCGGCCCATGTTTGTAAAGCGATATCAATATCATTTTCCCCCATGCTGAACCACAATCGATACATCCGGGAACTCTGGCTTACGCAATACTCATACACTTCAAGTCAACATTAACATTTTTCGCCGAAAATGGTAGGAGACAAGCACATTGACAAGCTGATTATTGAGAAATTACAAAATGTACTTGCTTTACTTTGCTTGACTTGTGGTTTGAATACTATTATATGAGGATGTCTTATGCAGTGAGCGCCAGTTTCATCCTGCGTGTTTTGATTTTCTCAACTTATTTGCATGTAAGTATTAATTGAACAAATAATTAGATTACGCTACTTATGGAAAAGATAATTAGATTACGCCGTTTTTTTCATCGTCTATATTTCGGCATAAATAAGGGGCGATAAGGACAGCAAGAAAGGCAATGGTTGATAAGATAGCAAAGAACACAAAACGGTAGGAATTTTTCTTATCGCCCCTGAAATAAAGTCTGTAACGTAACTTTTTGTTTAAAACATAGACACCAATGGGGTAGCGTGGTGTATTCTGGGATCGTTTTGAGGGTATTTGGAGAGTTTGTCCTGGATTCGATGCGTTTTAAGACTTGAGCGCAAAATGGGCATTTAATTGTATATTGTAAAGTAATATGCATTTTTCACTTCCTAAAATTAATGCCTGTCGGAATATAGCACCCCCTTGTGGAGGTTAGTACTCCTTTAAATATGATAATGAAACCTAATAATTTTCTTTTAAAATCAATGTTTTGAGCATAGATGGTGGCCTGGGTCATCTGTGTAAGTGACCACATCTGTGAAATTTCCCCAGGCCTATATGTTGGTAAATAGCGATTCTTCCCGTCTATCTGCCAATGGTTCTCAGAACTCTTTCTGCAGATTTATTTCAACAGCGAATCCATCAGGTTACATTGAGAATTTTGAGGGCACCATGTTGGAAGCCACTATCCCCTTGGAGAAGGCTGAGCATGCAGCAGCCTATAGGAACAGATGGAAACTTGCTGCCTAAAGATGCCCTTTGGCATGAGGTTTACCAGTAGCTCAGATCAGTTTGAAGCCTGGGTGTAATAGTTAATGGATAGCATATGTTTTGCTAGTCACTATGTGTCTTTTGTTTCTGTCGTGTTATATGTAGTTCTATAGATAGCTATTGTAACTTAGTGTAAGTTGTGAAGAGTATAGGGGCTGACTATAGTATTCAGTATGTCACCTTTCTTTAGCTTCTCAAATTGAAAGAGAGGTGTGTATATATTTGTAGAAGGAATTTCACATTACGCATTTAACAATTAAAGAAAACACAAAACAAGCCTGTAGAACTGCAAATTGTTTATTTGCCACGTCTGTGGCAGTCTCTCCCGTCTGTCCTACACCAGGTCCTACGCCATGACCTCGTACATGGTTTATTTCACACGTCAATATTCTGTGAAGTCCACATGGCAACTGACGAGCATCCCTCATACAACAACCTAACTTTATCTTCAGTGCAGTCTGGGCCACAAGGATACAAAACAAGATGCCATTATAAGCCAGCCCAGTGGTACAAGGCAGGCCAAATCACTGCCCTGCCTGTATGGAAATGTCCATTCTTCTCATATTATAAAAACAGTGCAAATAAGAAAGCTAGACTAAAGCAGTCATACAAAATAGGCAGTAGTAATAAGGTAATTGCATATCTTCCCTTAAAACCATTTAAGGTTTCTACTTTGTACAGTATACATACATGGGAATAAAAGTTTGTTACAACAGTCATACATTTGTATGTAGGAAGTCAAAAATGCCTATTGGAGGAGGCTACAAGTGGAATCAACACCTTCTTTACTATCGTAAGTTTTGGGGGACTGCACTACGCTCAGAGCCATTGGAGTGTCACAAAATCACACAGCCCATAAAAATATCTTGTATCTTTTGATAAATCAGAATAAAATTTAGTTTCATAATTTTTTTCTTTCTATACATAATTGAAGGGAGTTTGTCATCATCATGTCTGATTATGAGCATATATTTACAAGACATACCAGTGGCTCCTTGTATAAAAGAAGCCACGTCAATCCACCAACCAATGCAATATACAAGTCGCTATTGTAATTGGGTTAACATGGTTATCATTTGCAGTGAAGCAGAAGTAAATCAAAAGCCCTACGCACAAATCTTGAAACAAAAGATATTCTCATGTCCTGTGAATTATACATGTACATTCAGGCACAGGAAAGCCAAATCAGTTGACCTCTCAAAAACACAGTCCAAGTTGAGAACAAACATGTCCCACAGAACGGCAGAGATCTGACCATCTCAGTTCCTTGGTTTTCACCCTCTCCCAAGGCACAGTTCCAAAAGGATATATAGAGTAAGGATGACAACACTGCAGTAATTTCTCTTGAATTTGCATTTACTGCTAAAGCTGATGAAAGAAGTTGGCCATAGCATCTTGCAGGATACACATTTGCCAATATATATATATATATACATATATATATGTACATGTATACACCTCCATCCCAAGATTTTTCAACCTCAACTGTTATTCTATGTGCCAATCTGTCAAACATTTTAGTGAAGAAGTTACAGCAGCCTCTACTCTAGCCTACCTGACAAACTGGAAATTTAACTAAAACACTCAAGAGGCCAGAGGTCCCAGGAGCTGTCAACAGGGTTGTACCACCACTGGGGACAAGGTGGGTGTTTTTTTTTTAACCATACACAACAAAAAATAAGCTGACAGCCAGTACTGACATCATTTCTCTAACTATTTCAACCCTCCCAGAATTTGGGTCTATCAGAAGTACACATAGGTTTTAAAACAAACCCGCACACTGTTGTTATAAGGACTCAACAGTGGGAGGGTAGACAGCTGAAGAAATGTAGGTGGGTTGGGTGCTTTTAGAGCAATTGAATGGGGTGGAAGCAAAACAGGTTGTACTCCAGAACTGTTCTGGCAACCCTTTCTGCAGTTGTATCAAGGTATGCTGGGGGGGGGGGGGGGGGGGACGACAGGTTCCAATACCTGAGCTCAGTGAAGGAACAGCACCTATAAATATGGAATGATTCCTTTCAGTCTAAACCTGATTTTCTATGCGTAACAATACATGGGATATCAAAGGGTGGTGGTTTACGAAAAACAATATGCAACTTTTTTTCATTTTCAGTTGATCAAAACTTTTTTTTTTCATTTTCAGTTGATCAAAACTAGTCCAAGTCAGAGATTTGAGAAAATAATGTTTTAAAATACCCATATCTAATACTTTACTGTGGGTTGTACAAAATCATCAGAAGACACCATACAGCACAGACACAACAAGCCTGGCAGTTAATTGTTATGATTGATTGTGCAGAATTTTGTTACAATGCTGCCTTTGAAGATCATGTATCTGGGTTCAAGGGACTGTCATTGTACCAATTTTAATTCACTCTTAAAAACTGACTGATCTAGTACAAAAGCATTCCCCCATTCCTACACTACATTACTGTTGTACCTCAACGTAACATATTTTGACAAGAATGCTACAGAAATGTGTGGACCATGAGGGGGCTATAGGCATCATAGCAATGCTTTTCTTTGTTGGGAAAAATGACCACATACTATGAAAATAACACCCTGCCATTAAAAATGTATGCCTTTACTGGCAAAGTCCCTGAAGGTAGTGGGTTCATTTAAGGTTACCAGACCTGATAGCTTGACTGGTGAAGTAGAATTCAGTCTTTACCAGTATGTTGGCCTGACTTGTTTCTCCCAGACATAAAATAAGCCAAATAAAAACTTAAGGAAAATGTATCAGCCTTGCAGAAAGTTTCATTTTTGAGGGTATGTGACCAGTTCCCCCCCCCCCAAAAACAAGTAACAAAACAATCAATTTGAGGTGTAAAATTGATGTCAAAATTCCAGGACATAACAAAAAGATCTTTGATTGACATCCTGTGTCACTACTGTAGCACCTCAACAGTTTGCATCCACAAAATCCCACCATGACTTCCATAAAAATGTTTCACATGAATATTTAGGGCAAAATACCTGAAAAGGGTAAAATTACCACAGCTAGTGTTCAATCTAGTGTTTGTCAATATTTCTACTCAATAAAATGTAAAATTTTGTTCTTTAAATTCCAGTGATTTCAAATAATCATAATTTTTCCAGCATTGTTCAGATATTTTTGTTATCAGACACATACAACAAAGTAAAAGCAGTGTACTTATGATTCAGTGCAATTACAAAGATTCTGACTTCTCAAAATGACAACCTATTAGTTAAACATAAAACAGTTGGGAAAAGATGCCCATGAGTCTAACTACCGTATTCAACGGACAACTGAGCTTTTTTAACGTATGGGGTGGTTGGAGTCCAGGCTTGGTCACGAGTTTTCTCGATTTTAGGGTCACTTGAGGTTAATGCCATCTCAGGTGCGTGAGGCTTAGGCTGTCCTTAAAGCCCAGCCAGAGGTTGGAATGCAAAGTTTAAGGCATAGAGAATGCTGGGCAGCTGTCCTACATGCTATCATGCACACAATAATAAATACAACTATCAAGGACATAGAGCTATCTAGATTAACCCATTCTCATTTGCTGTCTCTCAAGAATCATGAATACCCTTTTTCATGAAAGCTATCATTCATTGTTTTTGTTTTTTTACAAAAAGACTACAAATGCTTTCATGTGGTAACAATGCCAATAAACTTGCCAACTCTCTATATACACTATTTACTATATAAACTCTACAGTCTGACCAGCTCCTACATTCACACGCTCCCTGCCGACCATTGCACAGTGGAGCGAGGATCACTTTGCAATTGAGGCCCTGGAACTGCGGGCATGTGTACAGTTTCCACAAGAATCCTGCACGCGATAATTCTTGCTTATCGGATGTGGTAACGTCCTTGTTTTTTTCTCTATGGCGTTCAATGGAAGAAAGGTGACTTTTCAGTGGCTTGCATCATACAGCTTTGTGCCTCCCGCCGCAGCACCGACACCGGATTCCACACTTGTAGCACAGCTGGAGCGGCGGATAACACAGGAGGCACGGCACCACGCAGGTTAAGGCAGAGAGTGCAGCCCACCTCCTACAGAACATGTCATCGCTCGTGTCACACGAACACGGCTCCACATATTCCCCCTCAGGGTCCGACATGCAATGATAAACCATCATCTCAGCTGCACTCATGCAGCTTACTCTTTTCATGTACTGTTGTGTCTGGTCCGGCGCAAACTCACAGCTGCCCGGCCGGTTTACCTCTGGACTAAACATCTCACGGCAATACACACATCGCTGCTCTCCGGTCTGAGGTCTCAATGGCTCTGTTTGACTCTGTGATCTTCTGTCCTGGAATAGCTTTGAAGGCTGGACTGTTACTACGCGGGATTTGCCACTTTTGGAGGAACTGGCATCTGTCCGGATTGGTTCCAACATAGGATAACTATAATCGTGCACTTTCGGATAGTTTTTCGAAAAATGAACATACGAATCTGCGTCGTCACTCGTACTCTCACTGCTGCCCACGGGAAAGGCCAGATGTCCAGGCAAGTCAGCAAACGCCGCCCGGCCTGTGGAGTCAGTATGCCTGATCCATATGTCACTACTGTCGCTACTGTCCCTGTTGCTATCCTGTTTGTCTTTATCTTTGGCTGACTCAGTCTTGATGAAAGTGTGCTCCTCCTGGAATATCACTTCAGGATGTGTCGTCTGAAAGGAAGCGGGAGCAACAGTCAAGTCAAGTTTACCTTTATATTGTACAAAAACTTACTACCTGGTACCTACTTCTACCTAACGTGCAAGAGCTTTTACATCATGCTCCAGATTTAATCATCTAATGTTAACTGATGTATTGGTATCAGTTTAGGTCTGTGGAACAACATACTTAAGCATGGTGATATACTCGTACACTATTAGTGAAAGGGAATGTCTTTTACGGGTATGTTCAGAAAGACACAGGTGAATGAGCCATGCTATTGCACTTACTAGTAATATGACATGCAATGTTGCAATGTTGCAAAAGTTCTGTGTTGGTCATTAATCATGGACTTTGACACACATCTAAGTGCAGACTGGGAGAACGTCTGATGTTTTAAGTGTTAAGGTTTGTCATTAGCTTTCCTATATGACAGTGAGATCATTTTCCCCCACCAGGACTACAGGAAGGTTCTATCCACGTGCCCCTACCATTACAGGGTGGCAACACGAAGTGCTACCTGTCTCACCTCTCTGGTGGAGTGTAATCTGCGCGAGCCGCGGATGGGCCTGCTGGGTGTGATGAAGTGTACTCTGTGGAGGTGGGAGTGGGTGGTGTGTGGGTGGGAGAACTGGCTCAAGTAAGGGTCATGCGTCGCTACAGTCACCGGCTTCCGCTCCTTCTTTGGCGGCTTGGGCGTCGGCTCCCGACTGCTGTCACCATCTAAAGACTGAAAATGCAGAACGTAACAAATTCAGATACCTAGTCGCAACATGAACAATGATGTTTCAAAGACTAGTGGTTATTTTTCAGTCACTTTTCTACAGCTGAACATTTCCAAAACCTGAAGCAAAAAAATACACTCATTCTGCAATCCTAATGACTGAGCAAAGGATTCCTTGGTAACTGAGAGCTGTCAGCAAATGGGTGGCATTAAACAAACTTTGCCAAATGGAAGAGTAGGTGGAAGCGGCTCTTCAAAGGCCGGCCCAGGGGCTCACGGCAAATGTTTCCTGTCCCACCAATCATTTTTGGTGTGCTGTGATGTAATACAGGCCACTTAAGATGGGATATACATTACAAAATTTAGCATCTCTGGCTTAGGCAAATATCTATATTTTGCTATAACAAAAAAGTATCATTATATAGATACCTTTTACAATATACCTTTACTAGACATCCAGTGATAAAACTGAAATGCAAAGCTTCCAAATGTCAGCACTAAAATCTTTGAAATATGTTTTAACATATACCCAATTGATATGGTACCAAACAAATCAGGTAAAAACTTACAACAAAAACATCTTCTTCATCAAGTTCACCTGGTGAAGACTTAGGCACTGAGGAAGGCGATGATTCTGAAAAAAATAAGTATCATGAGAAGGTTGTCACCTTCTTTCTGTTCTGATACAATACTAAGATAGGTTAGGCTAATAACATCAATTGTAGATGGCAACAGTACAAAGTATGAAAAGACAATCCTATATATTTTAAGAATATATAATGATAAAGACGTGTGACAGTTGAAACAGAGTTGAAGCAGATACAAATTTACATCCCAAAACTTACCATGTATCTACTACAGCAGTGTACTGTCAAACAAAGTTTATTCTAACAGTAACTTAGTCTTTGTGTATGTTTTTCTAAGAAAGGACTATAACAAGGGGAGAAGAAAATGAATCAATAATGTGAAGCAAAATTAGCACTGACAAAACAAGAAAACTTACCCCAGTTATTGAACATAAATCCAAAGGACAGCATGGAAAAGTGCAAGAGAAAATAACTTTCTGAGTGACAGTTTGAAATGTTTGACAGAATCATTCTATGACCTACTTAATGTACAACTGGTCACCTTCAACTTGGAAAGACACAATGACTTTGGAAATCTCATGACATTTTACCCTTATGTTTTAAGTTGTTGCCAACTGCACATCAGGAATTAATTTAAAGGTGTCTTTACCTCATTTATGTCATGATGAGTTGATGGGGTTTTGCAAATTCCCAATGTCTTTGCACATGAAGTGACCAATGTCATGTATTATAAGGTGGAAATGTCATAGAACTACATATACTTTTCAAATGTTACATGGTAACAGTAAGCTACTAGTAAGTTTAAAGCCTGTACAGAAATGCACTTTTTCAGACACAAGGGTCAGATGTTACCAACTGAATCCAACACAGCTTATACATTAGCTCTAGAATCAAAAACACATACTACATGGTTTACAACTACAAGTGACATCCATGTAACATCCTCTTTTAAGATCTACTCCTTGAACTAACAAACATGCCCCCAGATATCTTAAGAATGCCTTGTTCAGTTTTGCAAAGTCAAGGAAACGTGACTATGGTATTGTTGGCAACTTGGCAGGCCATGATGTTTCTCTTCTAATATACTGCTAGTACTTGCAAAGTACAGTAGTTTCACTACAAAGTATTCTGAAGTCTCCTATGAAATCAACAAGAAACAAGCTAACCAAACCACTTTCCATACCTGTATCTCACGACTGCAAAACTTATCCAAGTCTGACCTCCACCACTTGTCACTTGAGACAATTCCAGGGTATCAGACCTCCTTGAGGCTACCCTCAAAACTTTACAAGAACGGTCTGCTTTACAACAATGCAGGATCTTACCATTTCAAGGGTATGTATCTAACAAAGCTGCCAGGCAAAGACAAACCACTAACATCAAAATTACCTGAGTTGCCTCTCCTTTGTACCAGCAGCCATACCAAGAAAGAGCTCTGAAGAACAGACTGTGCAAGGCCAACCTTGGGCAAAGGAATGCCAGTAATGCAGCCACTCTGACAGGGTCCTGACATCACTGGCAAGTGGCTTCAGATCAAACTGTAAGGAGGGGGGGGGGGTCTTCTTTCTATCTCCTGGACTTTTTCCTTCCGCTATCTCAAGGGACACTGACATCCCCACTTGAGAGTTCTGAAGGTCAGGATAAGAACATATTGGGGTCGTGTGCTAACATGCCTCTTTTCCAATTACTGTCTGTTATACCAAACCCCGCCCTTACTCCACCTGTTACATACAGGTGCAAACACAGTAAGAAAAACTACCACATATTCAAGATACCAAACTGAAGATCTATGTATCTACTGATGAAAGATCCACTGCAAATTGTTAAACAAAAGCAGGGTCCAGTTGTAGGAAATCTACACACAACCTTCTTTATACTATCAACATTTTAATTCTTGACAGGTAATTATACATGAAAACAAAAGTAAAAATCTTGGCCAAGACCATTATATATTTTTTCCATTCATAGCCATATATGTAGGGCAGGGCCATAATTGGCAGTAACCATGCTTCATTTTTGTGTGATGGTTCTATCTAAACCTCTAACTGTTGCATCTGTCTGTCTTCCAGAGGAGGCTGGCTGATAAGAGCTGTGTCAAGAAGAATTCCTCTAATCTGGAAAATCACACAATCTGGATCAGAGGACAGCTGTGAGCATATCCCACCTTTTACTATCTGGTAACTTTATACAGGAGTTGGACTGGCTTTGCAGCCTGACATCACACCGCACCTTTAAAAGTGTGTAACCAAACAGAAGTGAATGCTTGGGGGTTCATCTTATTTCTTTTACAGCAGAGGGAAGAAGCCACAACACGCTCATTGTATATACACAGAGCCCAGGAATTGGGCTAAAACAATGCCAGCTGTTATGCCTACAGGAAAGGAAATACCTTTACCCGCAATTCCGCCACACCATCATCAAACGTTAACAAAACTTTCCATGTTAAAGCTTCAATACCTAAAAACAATGCAACATCTGTGCTTTAATATGTTGTAAATTATACCACCATTTCAAATAAAAAACACAAAGAAAGGATGATCACAAGGAGAGGTCCGTCATATGAAGAAGTCTGAAAAGATACATTAGGGGCATGCTACAGCAACTGAAAATGAAACAAATTACAAGCTACCCTTCTGTATTCTTCAGAATCAAATGAGCTACACACAGTAACTAAGTCTTACCAAAAGTTGTGGTTCAGTGATGCCATCAAAGCAAACCAGTATCTCTCTTGAGCTGTGCTGCCTCTCTCTCAATCTTATCAAGTCTGTCAACATGGCAGAAGTCTTGTCCAGTCAATCCCCACAAGAACAGGTGCTGATGCTGTCTCCTTAGGGACGCCCCAAGACATTTCCTTAATCCCCCATGACATTAGTTTCTTTTCCCCTCACCCTGCTGTCCCAATCAAGCTGGTGTTGTGTTACAGGAGATGAATCATTGGACAGTCTTCTGTTGTCTCCCAAAGAGCTTACATCCAACACTAACCAGTACAGTAGTCATGACTAGTTGTGAACCTAATATTTGCCTTACAGGGATACATATTTCATATGGACTGTTTACATCAGGGTATGGAATGCCTTCTTGAAAACTTTAAGCCAAGCAGGAGAACAAAGACTATTGACATGAAACACCTGCCCCAGACTTCCAACTTGGATAAGCAGACCACCTCTATGCCCAGATCAGCAGAAGCTTTTCTAATTAATGTTACTCTCAGTCTGGACTGTCTGGGAGTGCTGAGGAAAATCTAAACCAAATGGCACAATCATTACCAACCACATCATAGCACTCATACTAGTCATAGCCATGATATGGTAGGAGTATCCTTAGGGCCAGGCCAGAAAAGAAGAAAGACTAGTCTGAGCTAGTTCAATCCAGCCACCTACAAGCCAGGCAGCTTAGTCCTACGGGGCTGCCCACAAAGGGGCTCTAAACCTGCAGGCTTTGCGGAACAGTAAAGAAAAGGGAATGCGTGAGGAATGTAAAGCGGCAGAGTAACCAGTCTTAGTTCCAAGGGCGGATAGACGGTCACCTAGGTTTCCTCAGGCTGGGGCATTGTGGGAAAGATCCAATGTCCCCTCACTAATGTGACACACATGCTGGCTGAAACCCTGCGGAATGTCCGCTATTTCCTGTTTGCTGAATCTGGGCCTGGTGATGTCAGAGGGGGAGGCTGCTGTGGGCCACTGGCCACAAACCATAACATTGGGGCTCAGCCTACAACAGAAAAGTCAACTCAAACTTTGTACACCTGAATTATATAGATCTCAATGAACTTTGTCTTTCAACATAAACAAATATGAGTAAGGTACACAACTAAATAGCTATCGTACATTTGCGACATTAGATCTTCTTTCATGTTACTTGTTCAGATTGAGAATGAATGTTAATCTTCACTACTACAACTGCTCTTCCATCATTCCCTGTGCTCTTATTTGGAAGCATATTTGGGGATGTACACTTTTACAACGAAAATGAAAATTTGTTACAAACAGTTTGACACATGGAATATCTCTAGGATATAGCAGTTCAACAGGTGCCACACATCACTTGTAAATGACTGTTCTCCTAGTGGTTTGTCTTGGTCAAAATTCCATTGCTCAATAACAACAGGATCAAGCTGTAACCTGTACTTACATGTACTCTTAGGGAGCCTCAGGAAGGATTGTGGTATTGAAGTCACAATGGGAGGGGTGGGGGTGCAATGGAAGGTCTTATAGTACATTTTGTACATGTGTATGTCTAATGTCTGTCAATTTTCTTCTTACCCCACGCCATTCTTCTGATATGTCCCTTTCCTACATTTCCTCCATACGTCAGTCTTACTGACTTGCTTGAAACATCTGTTTTAATGCATTACTTCTTGGCCAATCAAATGAGCATTCTTGTCAGCCAATTGTAGGCCTAACTTTAATGCAATGACCTCTCATGTTCCTTTCAATGATTGATGTAACCTTGGCACTGACATGGTTGACATCATTGGTCATCTGTGGTTTGGGGAGTTAACCACATGACTACAGTAAGTACAAGTACTCTCTCTGATACTGTAAATCACTTTATGTTCACGGTGGCAAATGTTCACGGTCTGAAAAAAATGGACACATTCCCAGTGGTGGCAGGGGCAGCAAAAAGAAATTCAGTGAATCATTTTTTCACGGTAATGATAAGTTCTCTGTATAGAAGTGACTGCGAAACCCGCAAATACAAAAGTACCGATTTACAGTAGATCATGAGTATCACGTTGAAGTCTATAATAGAATTTCTAACAGAGAAAAATCTCAAAACCATGATGTCTCTCATTTCATTGCATGTATATCTAATATATGTGCAGTGGATCTGATCTCAGAAGAACACAACTTTCCTCTGCAACTTTCCCTTTGTCAAAGACACAAGCCTGACACAACATACTTAGCGCCTTCTTCCTTCCTGCTTTCCTTCGATTCATCTTAGGCAATCTCAACTGCAAACATGAACAAACTGGGAGGGGTTAGTTGCCATGGCAACATGCCTGTCACTGAACAATTATACTTTTTCTCCCATATGGTGAGTAAAAGTACCCACAAAGAACTGCACAAAAGGCACAACCTGGCAATTCTTCTCCATGCTAATCAAACCGAAATAAGTCCACCTTGGAGTCTCCAACATAACTGACAATCATTACTGTACAAATCAAAAGTGCAGAGCATGCTAATGCCTGCCTGCTTTCCCTCCTTCCCCCCTCTAATATTTACAGTGGGCTATACTTTGATTTGGTAACAGTTATTGTTCAAACATGAGGGGAAGAAAGGCAGGAAGAGTGTGGGTGGGCATGGAGTGCTCTCCCCTTCTCTATCCAGGAAATTTGCTGCTGTGACGTCAATGCCGCATATTCCGAAGAGATCTCGGATCTAATGATAGCGGGCCTCAAATATGCCAACATGACTCATGACCATTTCTCTTAAACAGTGGAATGTATAAAATGAAATATTGGAGGTTGAGTCATCAACGTATGGATATTGGATTTTTCTTTACATATATACTAGTCTGACATGATCAGCAATTGAGGCATGACACCTCATCTTTAGAAGCATATCCTAAATACCAGTAGTCATGAACTGTATGCAAGTGACTGAAAAAAACCTATACCTGGCATAGTTGAGCTGTGCAGGTGAGTCCACCATATCCACGATAAAATTGAATAACTTACTCTTTCAAGACTTTTCTGGGAAAATTTTACTTGGCTTCTGCTTGCCTGCATAATTTTGTGACTTTGGCCATGTTTTAGACCAAATTGAGATGACCGGGGGGGTTGGTTGAGGGATTCTGGTTTCATGCATGCACAAGTTCCACTTCCAACACGTTGGCCTTTGGTGTAAAAGCATATGTAGATATTAAGTGCAATGCACCTAGTATATGGGATGGACAAAAATGCAGTTCGTGAGGGAAGAAACTAAGGGGGGAGGTTTACTTGTAGGTAAATGACATGTAATAGGTAAATGCCACACCAAGGTACATCAACATGGCTGACCTTCACCTTCAACAACTGGCTGTTTCTTTCCAAATTAGGAAGCAGTCTACTCAAGGATTACTTCTAAAGTTAGACTCCTGCATCTTTTCATTGCCGAAAGTAAGTCTGTTATGAAACCTTGAGCCACCTGGTAGATACATGTCCCCAAAACAGCTCGCAAATCCCTTCCTCAGGCTACACAGGGTAGTCCTTCCTAAATCCATAAAAAAAGCAACAACTCTTGCCTGCGGTCAAAAGCAATTACGACTGGTCTACCTTCCCACCAAGAACAAAAGGGCTGAAACACAGCGGAAGGGAAGTGCCTCTGGGTGTTACTCTTGTATGCTGCGCTGCCTGCAGTTTGCTGGAAGGAGAAATTTAATCTGCCGTCTACCCTTCTGTTGTCACCATAAAAGTCATTAACGGCTTTCCACAGAAACTATTCTATACTTTCAATTTTTCCTGACTTCATGAAGAATTGTCATTGTAAGGAACACATGATTATAGCTGGAACAGATCATGGAAGTGTCCTGAAATGTGTGTAACTTGTTTTCCCATGGATCCTTCTGAAAACTGCAAAATCATAATTCGGTTTTGACAAACCTATGAATAGACAATGCAACTACTTATTCTTTCTAATACCCTTGATCCGTTCAGTATAGAAAGTCACTGAACAAATGGGTGATGATCTTTCAAACAAAGGCCACTTCTCTGGATTGAAACCCCAAAAATTTGACATGTTACAGACAAACCAGTTATGGAGGAAAACTACCAAGAAATAACAAAACTGTGGGATTCAACTATGTATCTGGATCCAACTGTACATACAGTACCTGCAACATTGGGACCTAGCTTTGCAACTGATATTTGATAGCAACTACACTGCTACACTTGACAAGTTTCTCCAGGTGTTCATACATTAAAATGGGCTCCCGAATAATAACAACTACATTTCCTTGTCTTTCGACTATCAGCAGCATTGGGAACTGCTAATTGGGAAGACCATCAAACAAAGTCAACCTGGTAAAGATGTGTATTCTAGCATTTGTGACACAATTTGTGTTGCCCTGGCTTTTAGCCAAAACTGAGACACAGGTAACACACCACAGCAGTCTCTCACCTTCAGAGAGGTCTTCTACAGCCCTCTTGATTCCCCTGTCGAAGGCACGGGCATCTCCTGGACTCTGGAAGGTCAGTCCAAATCTTTTCTCCTCCAGGAACCAGTGGTGGAAGATGGGTGTGACTCTGTTGTACTGGACGTCTTTTCTTAGCGTACATTCTAGCACCACCTGTGGGACAACACAAAGGTCAAAGGTAAATCACAAGTACATCCTCTTAGGAAAACAAGGGGTCTTTGTTTCCCACAGCATGTGGTAGAACCTGAAGTACTTATGAATGAGGACAGGTATGACTGTAACACACTCATTCAAAATGCCATGATGGCAGCTTTGAAGGCATTGACTTATGACATTTTGTCTTGTGTCAAAAGTTGTATAATGGATACATGATTTGAATTTTTGTTGTTGAAAGTTAATTTTCTTAAATATTTCAATATTTTTAACTAAATGATGCTGAAGTAAGGACAAATAATTGAATTTGTCCTTCATTAAATGAACAGCTATTTACATGACAGGGCTCGAAATTCATTTTTGGGAACAGGTGCACTGGTGCACCCAACCTAAAAAATAGGTGCACAAAATTTTGTTTGGGTGCACCAAATAAAACAAAACCTGATTACAGACCTTACTGCTCTTCTTCTGAGCTTGAATCTGAAATGGGAGCTAACTTCAAACAAAAAGTTAAAAAAAAACAAGTACTGCAAGAAAGATTTACTACAAGAAAGATTTTATTTTTTTCTGACACTTAGATGCCAAGAATATCCTGCATACCATTATACATTTGATATGTACAAAATACCTACAAAAATATTTGGGTGCACCTACAGAAAAAAATTGGGTGCACAGCTCCAATTTTGGGTGTACTAAGGTGCATATGCACCCAGTATTTTGAGCCCTGCATGCAAATAATATCATGTTTTCAGAAAACTAAGGGGCATTTTTGCATTATTGTCCATCCACTCACCTTAGACATACAGCAGAATTTGAAACATAATCTCCTTGATGGAGGTCATGAACAAATAACACAACAATAGTCTACTCACTGTTTTGTCTTTTAACCTCTCTCCATATATGACGAAGTCCTTCTTGGGGAGGACGTCCCCCTCCTTCTGGAAGCTGTACACCCCCACAATGCTGAGACCCCCTCCCCCGAGGGGCAACCAGCCACCTGAGGAGTCATCTCTAGTCATGACTTGGGCACGCACTCGGACAATCGAATTGTCCCTGAAATATACATCAATAAAAAACATCATCAATATTTGGTATTTTCAAACATCTGCTTGGAGATGAGGGTGGCTTAGTCATTATGTGATTGGTCAAATTGTAGCATTTACATATTTTGATGCAGGTGTTTGAGTAGTAGGCAGGACTACCGGGGCAGTCCAGTTAGATCCTGGCTGCAACTACCGGTATGTAAACATGCCCCTCCCCCCAAACCTTACAGTCAAGGTCAACAACAATGCCACGTCAGCTACCTCAAAGGTGAAATACAAATGACAAGGTCAAAATGTTACAAGTCAGAGTTGCTAAAAGTGATAGACAATAGTTTAACTTTGAACCACTTCAAAAATGTAGCCACCCACTTTACAAGCAACACTGCTGTTCACAACTTCTCCAACTCATTGCAACAAATTTTGTTCCATTGACATTTTCCATCCCAATGTTTTCTGATACTGGTAAGTTTTCATTGCTCTGACGCCTGTAGCAGTCTTTCTTGGCACGATATCAAATCTCTCCCCCTGCACCAGTGACAGGTTTAACCTTTTCCTTCAGACAGTCTATTTCTGCCTGCTGGTATCTCAGTTCCGGCAAAGCCAGCACGCTGGCTCCTTCTCCATCCTCTCAAAGCTCTGCCTTCCTGTACGGCTTACACCAGAGAAAGGGGACCGTATGAAAATTAAGGCACTAGCTTTCCTTACAAGGCAACAGTTGGTGCAAATTTAACACTGCTGCCCTTCTTAAATTTTCCTGGGCAATGTTTTATTCATAACCAAAAAAGGCAAGTTTTTCTCCTTTACACAAATGTAACTACCGTACAGTGCACGTTAGCTGACTTTCAGTGCAACCGACATTGTTCCAACACTATCTGGAAACATGGCTTTGAAAAACCTTTGATCCATTCATAATGGAGCATACCTTTACCATCTATGAAAAATGTTGTGGACTTGGCCGAAGAGTTTCTAACATCCCCTCCAAATGACTGTTACATTACCAAAAACATGCATACAGATTTTAAGTTTAGCACTCAGATGTGTAGACTGGCATTTAAATCCCAACATACTGATCTACATTCAATGTTGGCCACACCAAGTTGTTGGTTTTTGGATTTAAACAAAAAAACTGCTAAACTGTAATATCAACATGAAAACAGAGTTTGAGGTGAAAGTCTGTTCCTAGGTACAAACAGTTTTAAACACTGTAGCCATATTCATCTGTTCTCCTGTTTTACTATTGCTAAATTTGACTTTTTTTGAGAATCAAGGAAATAACTTAGTCCACATGAGCTAACCACCAGACTGTACATGTTACATTTGTAAACTGAAGTCAAGTCAAAGTTATCCTCCCTGGTGATGTTACTTGGGTAAATAGGGTACTTTGACCTGAGCTACATGGCCAGCCTGAACAGAAGTCAAAGAAACGGACAACCTTGTCGACTCTGTGTTTGACTTAGCCCAACCGTTGCTCACAAAAATCAGTCCCCGTCCAAACAATCTGTCAGGACCCCTGTCCCACTGATCAAACAAATGATGATGTATTCACTTGTACATATCTGATGTCAGCCCCGATCGATAATTGTTACCGACTCGGACTGTTTAAACAATCATTTATACCAAACCACCACACCCAGAAATGACGAACTTTGCACAAGACACAAGGCTGCGACCAATCAGTACCTGTTCTAAAACCCAAACCTGGGAGAATAAAACACAGGGAGGAACTCGTGCTGAAAAAAAGCTCCATGGAGGGCACGTTATCCCGTGGTGTCCTCCAGTAAACAAGCCATTAGGCCTACCGGACGTAGCGAGGGAACATAAGTATGTAGCTGATAAGCTCGGGGCAGAGGGTAGGGGCATGCACAGCTACATTGCACTAGTGACTAGGAAAAAAGCCGTCCATTTGGCTGGCGTTTTCATCTTTCAGGTTCAAGGCTTTGCCAACTTCATAAGATGTCCTTGGATTTTTTGCTAAAAAAGTTGATGCAAGAGAGCTGAGAAAAGTAAAGGTGACTTTAGAACACTATTCATTAGCTTCGTTTAAGACTTGTTGGCAAGTGGCAAAACTTGTGCTTCCAGGATGCAACAGGAGGATGCAAATTCTTGAAACAATGCTGAAGAGAAAAATTAGATGGTGCTCAAAAAATTAGACCCCCATGATCCTTCCACCTTATCTGGTTTACTGCATGGTCTTGTCATTTATAATCAGCCAAAAAAACAACAATATCTAAATACCACCTGAAAAGCGAAGACTAATACAGAGGCTACCTGGTCCACCCCTAAAACTAGTAAAAGGCACAAATTACACATGACGGTAACACCATATCTGTACCAGTACACATGTGCATGATGATCATATTTCAAAAACTTCCCACGACAAAAGTACCACCATTGTCAAAATGCTACTGTGCATGAACAAACAGGAAAGGCAAGATCAAGGGCTTATGGCAACCATTCCAACCATTCAAGATGGAGACAAAAAGAGACCAAAGGTAACCTTTTACTGCACGACAGGATGAACTTGAAACATGTCTGTGGAACCCAACCAACTCATATCAATCAGCTCACACATCTTCTACAAATTACAGAATGCATAAACTAATTTAACCTGCTGTAAGACTCACTGGAGAGTTACTAAAACATGCGGTGCATGCAGAAATGACCCCACTGTGCACAGGTTAACCCCGTGTGGGAAAGTCATTGTGGCAGAACATAAGACTGCTTTGGAATTTGTTTCTTCAAATCTAAATTGATTAAACCCAGCCAGGAGAAGGGCATGCTATTTCCAACTGTTCCATAATGTCGTTCCAACTCCCTTGTTGCAGCAAATTGTGGTTATATAAGAAAGATTTGTATTTCAGTTTCAAGGTTAAGTGTGTGTAATTCTAGCCCATTGTGTATTTTGTCCTTCAAGATTATTCCAGTATGTATCAGTATGCAGAAATTAACACAAATTATAAGGGCTTTTCACTCTAGACAAGTACATCATACATGTAGATTATCATACAACCTTTTTCAGTGGAATTTTTCAGATATAAATTACAATGTTCAGCAAGCTCTGATTACTGATTTTCAAGTGAGTGCTATGATTTATGAATTGCAAATTGTGCAAGCCTCAGTATTTAGTAAGTCGTATACTGTATTCATAAAGTGCAAATTCTACCTTTCTAGTTTGATTTGTAGCATCAAAATCTAATCCTCTGTCACTGATAAATCTTCTCACAGAACATTTCACAAATAGGTAAGTTATTCAAATGCTGATTTTTACTTTGATAATGTTTCAGCTACTAACCACATGGAGAAAAGAGTTTCTTTATGATTAAAGATGGAGGTAAAAGATACCTCCATGATTAAAGCAAAGAAAAATTTGGAACAAACCTCTCTGTTAGAAAAGGTTGCTTTTACAAATGTATTTCCTGAGGGAACACAGAGCCTACTGATGACCACCATATGGAGAGAAAAAGCACACAGTATTCAAGAACTTTCTCCCCTTTATCCCACAGGCTTTGCTAAAACCTAAATGTATTTGTAAGGTTGGTTTAAAAACATTTAAAAACATCATATAGTGGAAGTTTGGCACTTTGAGTTCATATCATAGAAATTGTTAATCTAATTACTCTATAAATTCAGATAAGTTCTTTATACCCCACATTACCAACTCTTGAAGACAATAAATCTGTGCATGCAACTGTTTATAAATCATGAACACCCCTCATTTGAACTACTGGATGTCCATTTTGCCCCCAGTAGTCGACTACTGGTTCTCAGCCCTGTCACACATAACACAGCAGCCTTATTTGTTTTAGGGCACAGGGCCCACATGTCTGTGGTTTGGATCACAAACTCCCCCAGGAATCCCCTACTCCCTACATGCCACCATACAACTCAACACCTGGCTACAATGTTCACTAATATGCAGTACTGAGAGTTCAAAAAAGAAACATAACATTTTGAACTGAAGAAAAATTGGGCCACTGTGTTGGTAAAGGTTTCGAAATCCTGCTAGACAGGTCCTGACAATGAATAATTAGGACGACATGTACATTGACTATCATGTTACTCTGGCCCATTTTTATACCTTGGTAAAGGATGTAGGCTCATCAAATGCACAGCTGAATCACAACCTCTAAAATGTTCATACAATATACAAGCCATGATGTGACAGTTTCTGGTAGTTTGCAAGAACAAAATTTTACCATTTTTCCCAATAAGTGTCTTGCCTCAATTCAAAGAACCGTATGATGTGCCATTGTACTGGCAACCTTACACGTTATGGAGCAGAATTCAGAGTGTGTCAAAATTTCTACTGATGACAAAGGTGTTCATTTTTGTAGTAAATCTGCAACAACTAGTTGTTACTCTTCTTGGAAATTCAGAGGTAGAGACCTCATCATAGTACTGTTGTCAGTTGAAAACTAAGTCTCAGATAATATTAAGAGATTACTTGCATCCAAAACTTTTTACATATATCCTATTCAAGACCTCAGATATACCACTAGAACTCCTGCATCTTAAAGTATGTGTCATTGCAGACCATAAATCCCATGATTCCATGGGCCATGTAGACGCAAACAGGAAGTCGTTTACTTGATGTGATTATGATGGAAAATCCTTTCAGCAGACATAAATAACTGCTGAAATATTCATGCCTTCCTGTCTAGCTTGAACCCTTACAAAATTACCTACTTTCAAGACATTTCTAAAAAAAGCAAAATCTGAAATGATAACTACAGGAAACGATTTATTGTTTCAGGTACCACGCTGCATGAAAAAAATACATGTACATATCATGGAGTCAAACAAATGAAGTAAGAAAGACACTCAGCCTACCTTACTCTTGTAACATAAATGGATGCATCCATTGAATTTAATACTAAATGTAACCCATTTTAATTCTTACAATGGTCAACATTACAGACTACTTTTTCCAAACAAGCAGCATTTCCCTCCCTCCCCCCCACTACAAATACCAAAGCTAATATTTGCTCACCAAACTAACTCTCAAATGAATTGAATTTATTGAAATCTTAAGCATCTGCCATTGTATACTTTAAGTGAATGACAAGTAGTTCAAAGACGTTCAACCTGAAGGGCTTTTACAGCGGTGCTACCCATCATTTTATATTGTAGGTAAAACTCCCTTCAGAGGGCATGATTGACATGTTTACTGGCAGTTAGGCACATGTAGATACTGCTTGAGTAAGGGCCTTACCAAGCTAAAGGATTGTTTGGATCACTGAACAGGTGAAAAAAAAAAGAAAGAAAGTGACAAATTACTGTGAAAACTTGTTGGAACAGCCAAACTGTTTGTGACATGTTTATGTGGTGATTACACATTTTAAAACCCCATGGATTGATGGAAAGATTTTTTTTAAAAGCCTGCAAGATGCTGTTTTGACCTAATATTACAAATTAGAAGGTCTCCGGTGAACCTCAATCTATTCTATGAGAAAACCTCATGGGTGCCCATAAAGTATCTTCCAGCAGGATGGAGGCTGCACTGGTTCACATCTGACCCAGTTTCCCAACTTTATGTTTCCGGTGTACCATTATTGAATAATTGTGGTGGGGTCAGCCTTCGTTGCTGCAAAATTGATGCTAATTTCTACATGTCAATAAATGTTCAACACCAAAGGCTGTAGATTGTTAACACTTGTCTGTGTGGCATCCTTTCTATTATCAGGAACAAGTGAAGAAAATGAGGAGGGTCAGAGGGGGGATTTATCACACAACTAGGTTGATCACTGAAAAAAACTGTATACCTATGTCTTACATTTTTCAAAAAGCACGAAGCATGCTTGAATACAACATGTGCAGGCTCAACCTGACTTTCAAAACATCATATATGTAACAAGACTCAAAATGGTCATGGGAACCTGGCAAAATAAAGCCTACATCCGGTTTTGTTGGGTTTGACATCTTTTTTGGTATCAGTGGAAGATAAAATGCCCCACTAAAGGAGATAGTAGGGAACCACTGCCCCCTTGACCCTCTCCTCTCCCATGTTACCATTGCCAGGGGTTGTCTGCTCCCAGCTCCAATTGCAGGAAGCCAAACTGGCAGTGTTGGCAACAAACAGTGGTGCGGAAGTCTGCTGTGTGGTAACAACAAACAGCAGGGAAGAGGAAACACAGCAGTTGCTCGGCCTGGGTAAATCCTTCCGCCCCACAGACACATGGTTGTGAGAGATAACTGGACAGATTCAGAGCAGGACATCCCTTCTTAGCCAGCATTGCAGACTACAAAAAGGTTTTGATATTACCTGCCTTCTTTCTCCTTATAATGTTGTGCTTTCTGATTCCAGTTCTGTATCCAGTTCTGATTGCTGCTGCTGCTTTTGCGACATCTGCTACCATATTACCAATAACAGAAATGTTATGTAACTAGACCTCTCCAAAAAAGTCACAGAACACAGTCACAGAACGCCCCTGTGAGACTTGCCCAAGAGGCTATATTCATATAATCGACTTTCTGTAAGGTCTACAATGTCTGTTAAAGCTCTTGACTTTGAAATAAAAAAATTTTAGGTCTGAGGTAGTTTTTGACTAATAATTATGGTCATTTCAACTCAAAATCTATTCACAATTTGTATTGAGCCAAAAACTGTGTAAGAACCAAGTTTCAAATTGACTGACAAAACGGCATTATGCTGCATAAAGAAGATGTCCGTCCTTTCAACTTGGCTGTCTCACTGTTGATGATTATCTCTTTGTGAAATTGCTTAGAAGAGAGCAGGTGCCCAGCGTTTAGAATAGTACCCATTGTTATTTATAAGGATGCCTCCAGCCCAACCCCTCCTGACCAATCTTTCTGGGATAGTCTTAAGGTTAAACCAATTATCACACCGTAAATGTTACTTTGAGTGTAAAAGGTGAACAAACCGCCAAGCATGAAATTATTTTTAGAGCAGAGCAATATAATAAACATAACTGTGTCATTGGTACAGATATGTTATGAATTATCATGCTAGTCATGTGTCATATTTTTGTACAATTAGTAAAAAAAATTATTTTCCCTGAAAACTCCCTTGCACATTATCTAACATCAGCATGAAGGGTAGATGTTTCCCTTAATTTGTCAAATAGAACAGCACAACTGCAGGTTTAAAAGGGTCATGGAGAACTGGCACATATGATAATGATGCTTCTGACCATTAACTGTTTTGTTGAGGAAAATTAACCATTTTCAGCAATTCAATAAAATAAATGAATCAGTCAAATACAAATCATGAATGTGCTTTTTGGGCATCATTACTACTTCTTTCTTCTCAGATCAATGACTCATTGCTGCAAGTGTCACATATAAGAGCAGATATATACACATACTAACACAAACTTATAAAAAAGAATCTAATACAACAGAAGAAACAAAGTACATGTGCAAGAAGTTTTTCAATACTGTACATGTAAATTGATACATCAAGTACCACATCACAAGCATCCTTTGAACCAATTAAACAGAACTATGTAGGCAGCACTCATCCTCTGTAGGATTTCCATGCTTGCTATCAAAGCTGCAATGTAAAAGAAGGCTGCTAGGGGACCAAACTTTAATCCAACCAGTGTCCTCATCCAATTAAAATGCCACAATATCTTAATTGGCCCTAACACCGGAAGGGTTAATCACCTTTGCTTCTAAGACATATACTCAGGGCATCTTGAATAGCCATTAGCATGATCCTGTTCACAAACAACCTTATTCTCATACATACAAACCAACCAACCAAACAACAAACTAAGCCATGCTCCTAAAATTATAATCCTCTAAGCAGAAATAATCAAGCTTTTTTTTCCTCCCAGCCTGTTAGTTTTGTCCTCCTGGCTGCCATCCCAGCCAGCCATAAGCTACGTAGGAAGTTCCAACCATCCTTCCCTGCCAACATGAACCCTAGCTGAGGACCTGGGAGGAAGCATGTAATCCCTCAAGGTCAAAGGTTTGCCATTCCTCCCTCTTCCCTGAAGGTCACTCAGCCACTGAAAAGACCCACATGTGAAAACTTCCTCACAAAAGGGCTGCTGCTGCTGACCTTACCTCACAGCCACCAGGGTTAATATTGCTGGAAACTGATCTGCCAATGCCATGTCTCCCTCCCTGTCAGGCACAACTGTTGGGGGTAATTAGATTCGGAAGTGGAGTTGTTCTAGCATGCCAATCCAGGTGTCCACCAGGTGAGGGGGTCACAGCAGTTTCCTCTCCTTTCACTGCTGACAGTTCCCATATTTATTCTGTTTTTGTGTGTGTTTGTATGCTCTGTTGTGTCTGTACACAAGCTGTGCAGTTGCCTGTATTGTCAAATGAGAACCTTCATAATTGGACATTGGCATACTTCCAAGATATGCCACAGTCCAATGCCTGCTCTCCAGCCTCCCCGAAGTTATTGAACTTCTAAACATGAATTAGAATAATTACAAGGTATACACATACTTAACTCGGTCCTCTCCTGTTTGTAAATATGCCCCTAACTGCATACATACCGATGTTTTACTCCTAATTGCGACCCGACTACAATTTGCCCATCCGAACATGACCATCCACAATCCCTGGTAAAAAGCCTGTATTCTGTTGTGTTCGCGACAACATTCCTGAGAGCATCCCGCTTATCCTCCTTCCTCCATGAAGCCCACTAAACAAGAACCAACTCGTCGGGCAGCTCGCAGTGATTGGCCCCGGACAAGCCGCCCTGGATTTGGGAGAGCACTCGAGAGTGCGTGCCCCACCTCCCCGCAAGCCCTTCCTGCAACCCCACCGAGACATGTTGATAAGATGGCTTCCGGTGGCGCACACCCCGCCGGAGCCGTGTTTATGAAATCCACCCGCACACAGAAACCCTGAAAACTACACGGCCAGGCCCGACGGCAAACCTCCTCCCCACAAAATGGCACGCCGGAAAGACCACGTCTGTGCGTGAATGAAAACTTCTCCTCCCTGGATTATGGCGTGTTACAAAGAGGCTTTTTATGAATGAAAAGCACTGTCACATGGTTCGATAGCTGACTATTGATAGAGAGGCCCCCTCGGTGGGAGGATTTGTACGTGTGTTTTCCTCCAAACCTCAGAAAACTTTGCTAAATACACTGGCTACAACAAGAATAGAGTGTAACGCATGGATCGACCCTCCCCTGCCCAGAAGATAGCACCACGGTCTGGCAGACGGCACATTTTATGAATGAACCAAGTCTGCGAGCAGCGCGGTTTTGGGGAGGGTAGCCCTCACGCCGCAAAATGTATACACACACACGACCCGCCACCTAACTCATGGCCTTCCCGTGCGATCGGGACGGGGACAGACCTTCACACAACTTTTGTCACCTCTACGATAACACTGAGAAGGGTACATGAACATGACAGTACGTGGTTAAGCGTTTTGACACAGATCGGGGGCCCTCCTCTGTACCTAACTAGCTGCACCTCCACCGTCGGTCGCCCGAGCTATCGCTCTGCAACACTTGAAATGCAACATGGCCCCCCAACTTTGCTACACCAGTACCCCCACTTACTCCGTGAATTGGCGCTGCCCATCCATCGTCCTAGCACCGTAAATCCAGAAGATGGTCGTCGGGGGCCGGCGCCGCGCCCATCCTCGCGCTACAGCCCGGAAAACGTTTAATTTCGCCCCAAGTTTTGGCCGATTTCACCGACTTTCAGCCTTCATGTTGGCACGGCTTCAGCTGGGGCCGCTCAGGAAATGGCGCGTCACCACCCACACTGCCCGCTCCTCCGCGCAAAGTAGGTCGTGAAACCATTCAACTCGGACAAACTGCAGTATTTCCTGGATACAGGGTTCCCCGTCAGTCTGTCAAGTAGAACACAACAATACTCAACCCTCAAACCTACAGATTTCTTCCACGAATTGACGTAAAACCTCGTTCACTGACCGTAGCAAGCCCGAACTGCAACTTGTCAATTAACGCGGAGTGATTTTGTCATGAAAGACCATGAATGTAATTTGACCCTGCCGGGCGGAAGGGACGCTAATGTATGCAAACAGCAAATACTGGCGGTGTTTGGATAAGGCAGCCTGAATTACTGCACACATGATTGACATACGTCAGTACGCAAACTCGGCCTGTTTTCCGAATGTGGGCCCGGGCGTGGCATAGTAACGGAGGAAAAAGCTTCGGAGGAAGAAAGGAGGACGTGAGGAGGACTGGACAGAATTGCTCATGCAGCTTAAACTTTCTATGGAAACTTTTAGGAGATTTGACAAGTCGGAATCTTGTAGTTTGAAGTTGTACTACTGTATTAGAGTTGTTGCCTTCTTGAGCGTTTCTTTTTCCATATTGCAAAGCAAGTGCAAGTTGTTGGCATGCGCATTCCCTTTTCTTGGGCAAACCGCAGACAATATGTATCACTGTCACCATAAATAAAATGAACAAACATCACTTGATCGTTGGCGAACGGTTATATAGCAAGAGGGAACACAGTGAGTTTGAAGTACATTGTGTATTGGGCCTTCCTACAAAATGAGATTGGTCATCGTCACTGTAGTATACCGTCCATCAGGATGTACAGATGCATGTTGAAAGAAAAGAAAGAAAGTAAAAAAATAAAAATAAAAAACTGTTTCAAGTTCCATCTCGTTTTCCTGGGAAAGAGCAACTTACCATTATTTCTGTCCGACCCTCGTGCGTAGACAGGACGTCAGCGGCCTTCCTGTGCAGGTGCTCGGCTCCTACAGGTGCGCCAAGTCTGACCACTCACCGTCACGTGATCGAATGTTCATGTTCGACGTTCAAGTTGCCGACTATGAAGTGGTTAGAGGGGAAGTACACGATGACAGCTGATGCTTTCCCCGTTTTCACAGCTGGACTCAGCCACCCCATTGACGTGGTGCCGCTTCCGTAACTCGGCTATATTCGAGACACTCGGAAAACCTGAAGGTGCATGCAACTGTCTCGCGCCGTTGACAATAATTAACGGCAAAGCTGATGCCTTTTCGTGTTTTGGGGAATATCCTCGTGTTTCTGTCTATGTATATGTTTATGAAGAACATAGCTCAAGAAGTTGCAATTGCCAATGTAATCATGCTGTTTTGTAGTAACCGGAATCTAGTGTACAGTTGTCAGTGGATACCAGAGAGAGCTGGAGAGAAAAAACGAACGAAAGAAAGCCCGGACAAAAAAGGGAAAAGAAGAAAGGATTAGAAAGGATGAAAAAGACAAGCTACTACACTACTTATATTCGGACATTGGAAGTTCGGGCCGTCCACAAAAGGACAGACGTAGCACAGATTCACGACCCCTATCCTTCCGGACCTAACATGCATTGTATCAGAACCATTATCGCCTTTTCAACACGTCTCAGTGAGGAGCAGCTCCAGATCATAATGAGCTCTCGTGGGCAGAGTGAAATCCAGGGGCCTTGTCCATTGTGCGCAGCTAAGAAATCAACAGGCGCTCTGGGAAAATCTCCATGACAACCGTAGAGCCACGCCCATCGCCAAGGTATGAATGGAGGCATGGCCTTGTATGGGTTGCGCTGGGGGACGTTCCAGCGGCGCGGCGGCACGTGTACACGCGCGTTGCGAGGCGAGGGGATAGTCCTCCTGTTTTCCAAGAACTTACAGGGGCCACGGCTATATTTAACGTAGCGTTATTGGTTTGCAGACTTCCCACGGAAATGGCAAATTTTGCCTGCACCACAACGGAAGGATTAACGTTACACAAGGCTCCGAGACATATGTGTTCCCGATTTTGCTGACATCAGCCTTAGTCATTCTACTTTAGCTTTTCAAATATTAGAAATATTTCAAATATTGAATTGGTCAATAGATTCAATTCTTCATGAACATATTCGGAAGTATTATTAACATTCTAACATTTACTGCACGAGTCAAGGTGTAGCCAAAGACAACTGCTTTCTTGTGAAACTTGTTTTGTGTCACTCACAACGCTTATTTCGTGCCACCAAAAGACAAGAACTGTCGGTAAATGTTGAAATACCACTACATTTTTAACCGACATCGATCCGTACAATACAAATGCCTGGAAAAAATTAAACAAGGATGCTGTATTCATGTATCATGTGTATATGACCCTTAATCTATAAACCCTACACAAAACCCTGCAGGATGAGAAATGACAATAACGCTGTAAATTCCCAGTACCAATGCATGGAAACTCAATGACTCATCATCATCCCCTCGATTTATCGTCTTCGGATGACGTCATGACCGGAGGGCCGCTGAAGTGGCGGGAACACAAATAGAATCATGATCAACAAACGGACCCCTCCGCGAGCTGACCTGTGTGATCGGCGCGGATGTTAGACTTCCTCTCTCTGCTCTCCCGTGATTAGGAAAACGACGCTTTTAGAAATTTATCAAAATAAGCGTGGGTGGCGGAGCTTGAGTACCAGGGAAACCCTTCCGCTGATATTAACCACGCAACGTGACCAAACAAGTAACATCATAAGGACTGCCCTCGGGAAGAAATGTTCGAAAGCAGGTGGCACACGGAATACATTATACTCACGTTGTATTACGCTTGTGCCAATGTTTGAAATCCCAGCGTTATATGTATGCGGCTAAGCCTCATATTTTTGTTTCCATATATGGCGTCATTGCAGAAATTTCATTTCTTCATCTATTTTGTTATTTGTATATCTTCAAAATTAGGCCAATATCTTTGTACGACATTTCCATTCTGTGTCAAAATGTACGCCAAATTTGCGAATCACAATTTAATTTTATTGAATCTCATTGATTCCCTTTATTTGTGGGAAGTGCGCCATATTGATTCTACCCAGTCTATTCACTGGAATGTCAAAGGTCATTATTTTGTTAATCACAACATTTAGGACAAAGCGATTTCGCGAACCAATGGATGGCATTGGCACAGCCTCCCTGTACGTTGCATCAATGTGCTTCATGCAGGTGAATGTTGAAAGCCTTATTTCCATTCAATAAAGACCGCAGCTAAAGAGGTGGCAAGATTTGATGGCTTGTTTGTGACTTCGCCGAAGCCGCTCGAATGACGTCGTAAAGTTGGCGTGCACAGATGGAAAGAGCAGATTTAATTCAATACAACGAATAGGTCTGAGTATCCGACGCAAATCTCCGCGCCCTGACGATCATTGATGAAATGGCTTCCGGGAAATTTCCAGTCTGCCGATCCCGTCGGCGGTAATTAGATCCAATTATTACATTCTGTAACCGTCGGAAGCATTAAGGAAATTGCAAAATACAATCCCTTCCAATTATATGCGGGAGAATTAATGTTCGCTGTTGAAATATTTAGGGTATTGACAAATTTGAAAGAAATAGTTCCGGATTTCTACCCACACATAATAGACTAGATGCACGTTTTAGCGTGATATATGCATACTTGAATGAACTGTCACTGTGAAGTACTTATAGTATACAGTCTTTTTATACAGTTTGAGCAAAAACATGAGTAGAAGTATTAACATGTACTGTCTTTATAACGAAACGCGAACTGCACGAAACGCCCACCGGCTGACTAGTCTTCGTCACAGACTTATGCTGGGGCTGAGTAAATGTATATTTTAAAAGTTGATAAAAGTAAGAGGAAACCTGCCACAACGGCCATACTGGGTACCATCTACAGCTTCTCTTCTAGATCCTGTGGCAAAGTATTTACGTCGATAGTTGATTATTATTCATTCTTCCCAGAGAGGAGGAATACTGTTTGTCGGCCGATATAACATATTTGTGGGAGGGTCAGAAGTCGTTGTCGATAATGGGAGGGAAAATCACAACGCCTTCCGATTGCCACGTTTTGTAAAGGTTGTGCGCTTGGAAAATGTCACGATCTTCCGTCCCTACTTGGGGAACGTTGTGATCTTCCCTCCAAATATCTGCTTGGAGATCATAGGCTACCGTCCCACTCGACTTTCTCCAAGCAGATCCGACGGGGGCAAGGCGGGGGTCGAGTAGGCCAGCCCGTGTTATGAGTTGTCCCGCAGGACCATCCCCTGCTGCGCTGTGACGTAGTCAGTGCCAGGCTGGGACCGTTAGAAGACTGTCTGAGTCAGTACCCCGTGATGACTGTCGGTCCGAGATGGCTCATGCCGCAACTATTTAGGACTGACGTCTTTTACCGGAGTAGCAAGTCCCGGAAACATGCTAATTTTCCGCCAGTGAAGCATCGTAGTGGACAGATATGTACACTCAAATGAAAGAACACACCATATGCTTACCATTTTTCGCCACCACTAAGGGTCGAAAGTCAGGAAACTTTGTCCAGGAAAATGCTAGCTCAGAAACTACTCTGGGATCACGACTCAACATTCACCACAGGAAAAGTCAGGACCCCTCCTTTCCGTCTATTGCATGCCTGTGGTCGAACTTTAGCTAAGCTATGTAAATGGGACTGTATAGCTAAGAAGAACGTTTGTGTTGTAATTGCCATTGCCGATCGCTGCAACCTGTGTCAAAACTGCAATAAACTGTCACGAAATCTCCAAGCAGATGTTCGTAAGAAAGATCGTAATGTTGACTAACATTTTTTTTCTAAAACCAACAAAGGGTTGCGTACTAGTATATGATTGTTAGAATGTTAGAATAAGAATGTTATTATCTTACATCGCAACAACTGCTTGAAGATGTACTGAGGCGAGGATCCTCGCCTCGTTGGCTGTGGTAAACAAAGCTGCAATTCACTGCAAGCTCGCATGGCGTAAGAACGTTTCTGATGATAGAGACCGTGAACTCTCCAATGATATTGGTTCGGTGTCCTAAGCACCAATCAGATTATTCAAAGTTCTTCCAACTATATATATATAATGCAGTCATTTCGGGCGGTGACGTAAATGTGGCGGCTCCGTGTATGAGGAAGCACCAAACCTCTGCACGTAAAGAACCCAACACACATAACAAGAAGAGTAAGGGTGACCCGGTGTGATCGGCTGTAAACGCGACGGCTGTAGACACTTTTAACTTGTAAAAAGTATCAGTTGAGGATGACTGCTTTGGCTTTACTTACTAATTGGTTCTTCCAAACATGCTTGGAGAAACCAGCGTCTTCCAAAATATTTGTCTCTATCAGAAAACTCAGTAGTATTAAATCACCCAAAAAGGGTAACATCAAACCACCGAACTCGCTATGGACGGCAGGCTACTACATATGCATGAGCAATTCATCCGTTGCCGCGCAAACACGTTAATGTCTAGACCTTCGAGAACAGACCAGACAGGTCCAGCATCGCAGACTGGAGAATGGCTTCGATCTGGTGGGATGGATTAAGTTATTGCAGTGCACAATATGATTATATAAAAATACATGCACCCACGGAGGGAGCATATATGCATAAACAATTTTAAGGTTGTATTGCATTTACGGGGACCTTTTTAGATTTATTTGACCTGGCCGTAAACAAAGGTTTAGTACGTGCACTTCCTGTCGTTGTCCGGAAGTCCGCGAAGCGCCATCCGCTGATTACACAGACGGCTCATGAAACATTCATACACACCCGATGATATCTCACGGAAGTCATGAAATATTCAGGTCATCCCCGGATCCACACACCGACACGTGGAGAAACGGGCCGGGTAGGAGGGAAACAGCGAGGGAGGGAGGGATGGAGGCAGGGATAAAGAGAGGGATATAGAGAATGGCGACAAGGGAATAAGGGAGGACGGACGTCGGGGACGGAGAGAAAAGGGAACGGCGAAAGAGGGGAGTGAGAGAAAAACTAGTGAAAATGGAAACTTGTAAGAATAGGTTAAGCGAGAGAGGACGAGACTGGGAGAGGTAAGGGGGCGATAGAGAGGAAGGAAGGAGCTAGAGAGAAGGGAAAGTCAAGGTGATCGCCATCTGAAGGCAGTCAACACGTGGAACCTGGTCTGATTGGAAGGATTCCAAGAATTCACCATACTAGTAATACTAGCATTGTGTCAAATGGTTGTCAGGTATATAAACAATATATCGGGTTTCATTCTCTTGAAGATTATTGAAAGATCGTCTTTTCTAGTGTGATCTCCTTTATGACTCCCGATACAGCCCGTGCCGACCGGCCTTTCATATCGTCCATTTCTTGGAACAAGCAGGTCCAGGTGGACCCATCTATAGGTTCATCTCACGTTTGTCAGAATGCATGAGGATAACGATTTTTGCCATGCTATTCTGCATTGTCGGAGAAGAGAGCTTATTCCAAATTGAATTGTAACGTTTCGTCTCAACCTCACCACAGCGATGCATCTGTAGCATATTTCACCAACAGAAACACTACTAAGTAAGTCTGAGTAAGTCTGAGGCTATTGACAGGATGATAATATATTCTGTTATTGACAGGAATGTTTTATTATTGACAGGATGACACTGTCTATAGTAAAATATTCTGTTATTGACAGGACCCTATCAATAGCCATTTTCCTAACGTTGGAGAGAAACGATAAAGTTTGCTAAAAAGAGTGTCTTGAACTTGAAGGCCAGTCTGCCCTAGTACTAGCAACTACAGTAAAGGGACTAAATGAAGGAACGAGAATGATCACAATATACAGACTGTCAACGTTGTTACCACCAAAGAAAGGATATTCTTAATGCTTGGGTTAACCGGGACTGTCGGACAGGTGGTCCTCATGCAGAAATGGTCATTTGTAGTGCATTCAAGGAGGTTATAGTGACCACTGTAGCCTTGGTCCATGCAACGTTTAATAATACAGGCTTGCCAGTAGCAAACCTGTGTCTAAATTAAAATAGGTATTCATGACTTGCTGATACAACAACCTGTGCAATAAATTCATTCGGAAAATTCGATTCCTTGATTTGTTTCATCACGGGACTTCAAGTGCATTGGAAAGCCGGAAGGGAGGCTGTTGTGGAGACGTGATTCAATCTTGAGCGATGAGTTTACGACATAACTCATTTACGCTAGTCAGGGGGATTCGATTTTGCGACGTTAACGCAAAACGACCCACAACAACATGGACGAAGACGCTAGGGATGTTAGCAACGGCAAAGAGCACCAGAAAGGTGGGCCCACTGTAGACCAAAACGGTAAGCAAGAGGACATCTCTGGATGGCTGATGAAGAGGAATAAGTTGACGAGACAGTGGAGACGGCAGTGGTTCCACCTGAAGGGCTGCGACTTGCAGTACGGAGACTCGGCCGAGGTGAGATGATGTTCTCGCCCCTTCACCACGCGTTTACCTACAATATATTAGAATTAGCAATAAAACGTGAACACCTTTGCCGTTAAAAATCCTGTCAATAACAGAAAATTTGCACTATTGACAGGATCATGATACCAAAAACATGCACTATTGACAGGACCATAACGTTACTGTGATTAGTGCATCTGTTAGTCAAGTCAAGTCAAAGCCTTTATTTTCCTTCGAATGCTTGTTCGGCGCAAGGCCGCTTTTCAACAAGGTCGAAGTTGAGGGGAGGGGTCACGGATAAGAACCAAATCAATACAAACATAAATAATAAGTAATTAAATCAATACAATAAGTAAGTAAAGAAGTTCACAAATAAATCATTAGGTTCGTAGCCAATTCAAGTCCATGGTGAGTCCCAGTTATGTCTGTTCCATAAGTGACTTGAAGGTATGGATGGATGGTGCTGCCCTAATGTGGGGCTGGATGTTGTTCCATACCACTGAGCCGGAGTAAGCCAAGCTTCTTCTGTAAGCTTCCAAGTGCGGCCTCGGAGGGATGAGACAGTCAGTAGAAGCTGATCTGGTATTCCGTGCCACTTCATCCCTTCTCAGGCTGAAGACTCGTCTCATGTATGGTGGTAATGCATTTCTCAAGGCCTTATACACCAGCAGAGCTTTTTGTTGTTGATGTATAGTCTTCACAGTCTTCCAACCAAGGCGCGATAGGATTTCTGCTGATGGTGTTCTATATGGAGCTTTCAGAATAAGTTTTCCCACCCTGTTTTGGATTCTTTGCAGCTTGTCGTACTGCACCAAAATCGCTCCATCCCATACTGTGCATGCATAAGTTAAATGTGGTAAGAAAATTGAATTATATAAAGTGACAAGAGCAGCCTGATTTACGAATGGTTGGACCTGGCGCATTACTGCAAGTGTTCGTTTCAATTTTGATAAGACATGATCAATGTGATAGTTCCATTTCAATTCACTGTCCACAATTATGCCGAGGTACTTGAAAGAATTTACCACTTCCAAAACACTTCCACTCATGTACAACTGCAACTGGTCCTTTCCTTCCAGTCGCTTCTTTGTGCCAATTAGCATAGCCTTACACTTCGTGGAGTTGACTGACAGACTGTTTGCTAGGAACCATTGTTGCAAATGATCTATATCCGACTGTAGGGTGCGCTTTATAGTATCTAAATTTGCATGACTGAAGTACACCACTGTGTCGTCGGCATATAGGGCTACCCGACATGACTGGATGCAACTTGGCAAGTCATTCACATACATTATGAAAAGCAGAGGCCCCAAGATGGAGCCTTGGGGCACTCCATATTCAACACTACAGAAATTAGATGTTTGACCATTTGTAACTGTACAATGAAGTCTCTCAGAGAGATATGACTGAAACCACATGGCTGGCGAACCAGTGATCCCGAAGGCACTAAGTTTTTGTAGTAGGATGCTGTGTTCGATAATATCGAAAGCTTTCGATAAATCGATAAAGACTGCCCCCGTGACTTTGCCTTTATTTAATGCCTCATACCAATCCTCAGTGACCAGGTGAAGAGCTGATTGTGTCGAGTGTTTTCGACGGAACCCAGACTGTTGCTCACAGAGGAGATTGTTGTCTGTCAGGTACTGGTAAACCTGCTGATGGACTGCACGTTCCAAGATTTTACTGATTGCAGGAAGAATACTTACTGGTCTATAATTACCAGCTTCAGTTCTATCTCCTGCCTTGAAGATGGGTACTACTCGTGCTTTCTTCCAGTCTGCAGGGAATTCCGAGAGGGACAGAGAAGCATTCATAATGGTGGTTAGGGATGGTGCAATGACTGGAGCAGCAGCTCTGAGTAACCGACAGTTTATGCCATCCAGTCCGGTGGCTTTGTCTGCTTTCATGGATGAAAGTTCCCCTAGGACAAAAGCTTCTGATATGGGCTGGAAGGAGAAAGTTGCAGTAGTATGTTGTACAAACTGTAATGGGTGGAAAGCTGACCTGCACTTGTGTAACATCCCAGCCAGTTTACCCGCTACTCCACCAAAAAAGGAGTTAAGTTTCTCTGCTATGTTCCAGGGGGATGATGTTACTTCTCCGTTTTCATCGACCAAACTAGGTATCTCTGTAGACTTTTGTCTCCCAGTCAACCTCTTTAGTGCCTTCCACATTTCAGAGAAACTGTTCTTAGAGTCTGCTGAGCTGCTGATGACATCAGTAAAGTGGTCTCTTTTGGAGGTCATTATGATCTTTTTTGTCCTATTACGTTGCCTCCTGTATGCATTCCAGTCCTCAGGCGACTGAGTCCTTTCTGCTTGATGCCTTGCATGGTCTCGTGCATGCATGGATTCCCTCACCTCTTCTGTCAGCCAAGGTGGGCAGCTGTCTCCTCTCACTCTGAATGTCTTCAACGGAGCATGCACGTCACACACATTATTAAAGAGTTCCTTCCAGGTGTCCCACTTGTCTTGTACAGTATCAAATATGTCTATTGTCTGCCATGGGGTTCTAGCAAGATCTTCTAAGAAGCTTGCTTCGTCCATGTTCTTGAAAACTCTGGTGGTAACCATTCGTGGCAAAGGTTTAGTTCTTTTACGACCTCTGTGTGTGTATATCAAATGGTGGTCACTGAGGCAACTGTTATACACCCCACCGTCAGTGTATTTTCCTGGGCAGGTGGTAAGAATGACATCAATCAGTGTTGCTGATGTTTCAGTTACTCTTGTGGGCAGTGTTACTATATTTGTCAGACCATGCAGGTCACACAGGAATTTCATCTCATTAGAGTTCCCTGTGTTCACAAGGAAGTCACAATTGAGATCACCCATGATCGTAATCTCCATGTTACAGTCCAATGCTTTTCCTAAACTGACATTGAAATGATCGAAAAACTTAGTATCATGAGGAGATCTATACATACAGCAGATCAGGACATGTTTGCCCATAGGTGGAATTAACTCTACCCAAAGTGCTTCCAGTCCATCGTCAGATTGAAGGTCATTTCTCTCACGATGTGCAATATTTGTTTTGATGTACATAGCCACCCCTCCGCCATGGCGTGAGCCTCTGTCTTTGCGTAAGAGGGTGTATCCTGGAAGGTTGAGTATACTATCTGGGTAGTCCTTGGTCAAATGTGTTTCTGTGAGACCGAGAATGTCAATTTCACTTTCCTGGGTGAGAACCTCAAGGTGTACATGTTTTGCTGGCAAGCTCCTGACATTTTGGTGAGCCATCAGTAGCCCCTTGTTCCCAACCTTCTTAGGAAAGGTGGGATGTGGCGGTAAAGGATCTAAGGTAAGGGTTGGTGATGTATCTGGGATCAACGGCTGTTCAAATTCAGCATCAGCAAGATGCAAAAGGCGTGCAAACTCACACTTGCAGCAAGACCACTCAAGTTTGTCATGTTTTAGGTAAGTTTGAAAGAACATTTTTGACATGCCTGCACAAGTGGGATGGAACCATTTGTTACATACCTCACACTCTATCCCTGTCCTGACTCCTCCATGGCATACTGCACATGGGTCTTTTGTTTGCCTCAGTTTAGCTGGACCAGGATTTGCAGCTATGTCTCCAGAGAGGAGAAGCAAGATGTGAAAACACAGGTTAACAAAGTTGACATTGGATGAACTGCACTGACCTGTTGTTTTGGTTACATCTGAAATTAGTAGACTTATTACATAAGTACCTTGTCTGATACTAGAGAAGTTGTAATCTAGCCTGTGGGACAAAGTATTGACATGGTACACATCATGGCTAGCTATACGGCTAAGACCAGTAACTGGGCTTATAAATGCCAGAAAACCATATGCAAAAATGGCAAGGTACATAATCATAGGGCTGTTCATGACTACAGCAATGTACAATGATTCTTCTACATAAATCTGCTTACTATGTCATAAATGGCAAAAAACATCGTACTACTACAGGCATTAATACCCCTGTCTATAATCTTACTTAAACTAAAGTGCATACCAACCTAAACCGGCAAGAATGGTAGCCTTCAGGACACAAGAACTTGTTCCCAGCCTGGCGATGCCTCCTACCCAACCCGGCCTGCCCTCCCCAACATGGCGGGAACTGGCACGGCTTGTGACTGGGAAATTTAGATTTTTCTTTTACAGATTTCTACAGATTTTAGTGACTGCTAGTCGGTCTCAAAATGGACCCTGATGCTTCAAAAGATTTTAGAAGCACATAGTCATACTGAAATGAACAACAACTGCTGAAAATAACAAAAGACAGGAGGACTTACTCTCCAGGCAACAAAAAGGCAACCTGTTAGTAACGGGATGGTCCTGTCTCCTGTCAATAGTGTAAAAAATTCTGTTATTGACAGGATGATCATTCAAATTCTAAACAAGCCAAATTCTAAGGTTATTGCAACATGAAACCCAAGTATAAAAGGATTTAGGGCCTTAGGATACTGTTGACAGGATGGTCCTGTCAATAGCCTTTGGCTATATTTTATGACATGGCTATAACGTTATCTCAGTCAACTAGCAGATGCGTCTCATAGTAAAATTAAACATTGATGTCATTGATGATACTTTAAATAGCTTTTAAAAAACAGTCAATGTTGCAGTATGAACATTCATGTGAAAGCTGTTCAGAAACTAACTGGTATGAAACAGTGATCTCTCCAATTTTACACATTCCTTAAACTTCCTGGTCATGCTATTGAATTAACTAATGATAACATTACTAAATATTATAATAACTATCAATAACCAGGTAACTTTAGGCTTTTATAATCTTTCTTCCCATAGTTTTTAGGATGTAACGTTTACTGACATCATTTATGTCAAATGTGCTACGCATATGCTTTTCTGGAGATATCAATAGGTAAACCTTGAAAACTGGTTCTCTCACCTACAGAAGCTCAGTAAAACCATCCCACTGACAGGAGCTCAGATTAAAGAAGCCAATGTCGGAAAGCCTCACGCCTTCTCGGTGAAACCGCGGGACAGCGACAGAGTGTACCTGTTCCACGCGGACAGCGAGCAAGAACAGCGCCAGTGGGTGGAGGCCATCTGCTTAGCACGAATGTCTGGCACTGACGGGGACCAATCACAAGCCTGCGTCATACAGTGACTGGGGCTTTAGGTGTGACAGTGCGATTTTTGGGTGGAAATACATTCCAACATGAACTTATGGCTGTGGTTAGCCTGATAAGATTGCCACTTCTAGTGGCCTTCGGAATGAATGGGATAGCTTGGACCAATGTCCCATCTGACTCTCCTTGTCAAGTTCATTGTTTTATCAAGTCATTTTTGAAAATTTTACAGAGGTGAAAATATTGTGTTAGGTGACACCAGAACTCAAATGCAGTCTACTGAAATTGAGAACAAGTAACACTCATTGATATTGATGAGTCCTCTGGCAAATATTGTTATTACTGCAGAAAACTGCAGTTCAGCAATTAATTTTATGATTGAATACGACAGTGTTATTTTTGCCCCACTGTAGCATGTTTTTTGTTTTGTTTTTTTTACATTGCAGACTAAAAATTCGAGGAAAAGGAGTCAGCTTTAGACACAAGAAAGGATATCTTGATACCTTGAATCAATGCCTTCCATTGAATAAAAACTACCAAAGCTATTTCAAGATACCAGTAGGTTCTGGCATCATCTACCCTGTGACTGGGGAAATGTGTTTCCTAACCACAGTCAAAGCTTGTGAACTGCTGCAAGTGTTATGATAAACTGATTAGGAGACTGATTTGATACTACATGTAGTAGCTTTTATGATCATGATGTTTGTAAGAAATGCTCTGTTGTCATTTTGATGTGAAGTAGGTAGAGTTACCGGTAGATTTGTCTGAGGAACATACTGATTGTTCTCAGTGTTGACATTTATTTAGAGGTCACCAAAAAGGTTAAAGAGAAACTTCCCTGTTCCGACAATCAACAATTGTTTTAGTTCTTTTGTAGTCCATGTTATGTACATGTATAGATATGTGTATAGATTGAAGTGTCAAACACACAAAAATTCATTAAGAATTTATTTAATCAATTTAGACTCAAATCAGGAGATGGTTACAATATCTTAATTGACAATTGAATGTTCAGTAGTGTAAGCACAGACATGACTTCTCATAATATTCCAAGATCAATGTGAATATGTATTAAATTCTATTTTCAATAAGTCAAATAAACACCTGTACCTGTTTGACAACAAAATGCTCAAGCATAGAAGATTATAATTCCTGTGTATTTATATGTAAGTTAAAATCATATCCTATTTGATAATAATAAATAAGAGCTATGTTTGTATAACACAAATAGCACATTTTTTCATGCTTTAGTATCAGTCCTCTCTATCTTACACACATTACTCTGGGAACAAGATAGTCTGAGCTTGGCACTCAGTACTCTGGGAAGGAGGTGTCTATTTTCCTGGCCCAGGCCATCAGGCCGCCGCGGATATCTGTCACATGGACTGGCAGGTCTGACAGAAGGTTCCTCAGCTGTTCAACAGCAAGCTGGGAATCATTGCCTTGTCTGCAGACAACGTACACTGGAGGAAAAAAGAAATGTCATGTTTTACAGCACAGATCTATGCATTAGTGATATTTCTTCAAAATGGCAAGACATATATAGCCAACAGGGAGCGGACCTTGGGTACCGGACGAAAGCTAACAAGGCTGACACTCAGGCTATGACATATAAGGCAAGACAAGCAAGAAGCTGTATGGCATAAACAAACATTTCCTAAATCTGCAAAGCTTTGTGTTGATTATAAAAATGTGTTTTCTTATTTACAATTGCCTCTGCTCATTTTCAGCTTATATGCTTTCCAATGGTCTCTACCTTACCAAGGTGGACACAAGCATCAAACACAATGTAGATGAATACCCAGTACATGCAACATCACCTACCTAAGTACAGTTACAGTGATGTTTAACATGATTTCTGAAAATGTTTGACATATACCTGGTAACTTATGGTCATCCTGTTCTAGCTGCTGTACCTTGCAGGTTACAGCTGTCTTCAGCTGCTGCAGCTGCTCTGGTCTGGACACCTGCGATATAGGAATATCTGACAACAATGTTAAGCTAAAATCAATGCAGGATGCTTTCCTCCACATATTCCACCAAATACTACCCATATAATTCTAGTTGGTCCAAATATTAAATGACCACTTTAGGCTACATTTTGGGGCACAAGAAATGATAACAAACACACAGAAAACAGTATGTTTCCCTTTGGAATACAATATAATAATGTTACTGGGAATATGACGAGAGAAGTTGTGACTGCACATAGTTAAGTTTGATTTAGTCTGGCTATAAACATAAAGAAAGATACTGATGGGGTTGGGCAGCTGACAGATGTCCAGTTCCACAGGCTGTCGTACATCCACTAACAGATGGGGGGCGCCACTGCTCAGGACAGTGTGGTACTCCTGAAAACGTAATAATCATACAAGACTGTAATAATCATACAACACTGTGGAGACTGATACTGAAGTGTGGACTATAAGTATAACTGTGAAGAGATTTAATTTCTGGAAAGTAAATGTAATATACCAGTGCATACTTATCGGAATTATTGTTCTTAATTAAGGCCGACCACCTTTCATTATCTTGTGTTCAAAGTTTGACTGTATTACACTGTCATATGTCACATATGCCACACTCCTCATCGGTGTGACTTTGGGAATACTTGCCATACTTCATGTCTGAGAATATGGAACAGTTGTCACCTGAACTGAAATCCTCTCATTGTCTTGGAGTATCCTTAGTGACTGGGTCTGTATGACAGAAAATATGAAATATGTGAACATGACCTTGGCCAGAGAGCAAGCTTCTTATTTTTCTCTCTGCTGTATGTCATGCATCATTTCAGTGAAAACAGCTGCAAAATTGAGGGGATATCACAATTCCTTCATTCATTACCTTGTCACATGCCTTGGCCCCACAGAACTGCTCGTAGTCCTGTAGTTGTGTGACTGTGGGAGCATCCCCACACACCACACAGCTGGCCTGACGTGGGCGCAGCTTGATAGAGCGGAATGTTCCATCCAGAGCATCAAACAAGAGCAGCCTCTGACTATAAGACACTTAAACTGTGCAGTCAAGGTGTAAAACTTGTGGCCAAAAAATACATATACAAAAAAAAAGAATATTTGTCTTTTTGAATGAAAAAACGAAAAGGAATAGATTTTCAATATATGACCCAGGAATATTCTGTATAAGGATACCCTCTTGGCCAGCAGCCATCTTGATGACCTCTAGAGCCTGTAGACAGCCAATGATGCCTGGCACTGAAATATGAGGGAAGATGGACATCACTTTCTATGCCTCTATGAGATGTCTGACAGATAGCCTGGACACTTCACAGTAATATTCTGACAACCAACAAAATTTTGGAATGTATGGTGAAATGAGACTGACCTACCTACACCCAATACTCCCCCATCTGAACAGTTAGTGACAGTTTCAGGAGGGGGAGGGGTGGGGTACATACACCGGTAACATGGTCCTCCCTTGTAGTTGTACACAGTCAACTGGAAAACAGAACAATTTCAGAAAGAGGAATTGAACATGTTAACTTTCATAGAATTCTGTTCACTTACATTCTATCATTTATTTACTCCATTATTAACATGGTGATCATTGTTTTATTTGTTCGTGTCCTATGTTAAAGTATAAAGTTGACCAGCTGTCTTAAAAAAATTACGAAGATTCATTGATAAACATATAACAGTTACATATATAAATGTACCTGAGTGTCCATGAAGAGATTTGGAGACAAAGTACAAAACTGTTTTCTTCCTCTGTCTCGGTTGCGAAATAATATAACACATAACAACCCTTCAGCTCACCTGTCCCTCCAGCCTCAGTGCACTGCCTGAGACCAGTGGTTTGTTGGTGAAGACACAGGCATCATTCAGCAGGTACCTGGTGGCCACATTGTCTGTACAGTCTACAACTATGTCATATGTGGAACAGTTTAGGAAGGAAACAAAAGTACTTATCATCAGTGGGCTAGATCCTATCATAATCTTGCAATATACCAGTACTACATCTTAACCATTCCACACCACTGTTGGCACTGGTTGACACTCACAGGTGTTTAAGCAGTTCATGCATTTTTTCTACACAATTACTTAACTGACAAGAAACTCCTTCCTTCCTCAGCTGAAACCTTACTTTTCTCTTCAACTTTTAGCAAGATTGAGTGCCAATTCCAATCAGTACTAATCACTTAAAACTGAGCCAGTTAACAGATGTCTGTAGGATATTGCTTTATGACGTCCAGAGCATTTGTGCTGTTTAGCTGGAGGTGGTAGGGAACACACTGCACAGTAGAATTTAGCCTGAAAAACAATCGACATTACATGAAATACAGACACATAATATATTAACAAATGTTCTCATTATGGTACAAATCAAATGGCAGCAAACTTAATCTTGACTATTATGTGGCAATGAAAGACAACTTTAGGGTCCTTTTATGTCACAGGAATGAAGAATGCATGTTATATCCTTCCACCTCAAAAGTGACAATGATCACAGTTCCTTACCCTTTGACAGCTGTAGCAACAGACAGTGCCTTTGGCGTTCCCACTCTCCCTTCTGTGTGGAGGACCTGTCGATGGAGGTTGTTCAGCTCTACTGAATCATAGTCCACAAGTCCCAGCCGCCCTGCAACACACAAAGAACTGATTACTTTTTGCTCTCTTTTGAAGCAATACAAGTTGGTGCTGACTGTTGGATAAGTCATAATGGCATTGACAAAAAAATATCTTGTTCATCAACATTTTCTCAAGGCTTTTATGACTGTCAGAGGTTTATTTGGCAAGACATCAACTATTGTACTTTATTCATGTAGCCTGTACTTCTTGGTCACTTCAAGAATGAGATTTTCAGACTCACCAACCCCTGCAGCAGCCAGGTACACAGCAGCAGGACAGCCCAGTCCACCTGCACCTACCAGCAGGACAGAGGTCCCACACAGGGCAAGCTGGCCTGCAACACGGCACAATAAAAACAAGTGCATGAAACACAGCCTGAATGCCATCCTAGATAGGTTTAGGTTTGATTGTGTGTAGAAGGTTGAATCTCATTGATAAAACACAAGACATTTCCAAAGGTACACATTAAGTAGTAGGGGTAAGTAGTAAATCCAGTGTTTGTCACTGACCTTTTACCCCCAGCTCAGGTAGTATGAGCTGTCTACTGTAACGTGCGATGGCAGGTTTGTCTAGTCTGTCAGCCGGCTGAAATGTTGGAATGTCTTGGATGTTTCCTGACTCAATAAGAGTTGGGGGAGCATCTTTGGCCTGCTGAGGATGGACGATAATGGAACTTGTGTGAAAGTGTGGGAGCAACAATTAGTGCCCCAGTGCACAATGCAATATGCAAAGATTACAGTGAAACCAACCTACCATTTATAGACCAGATATATAGCTAGATAGGATGAGATCTATCTAATCTCCTTTACTTCTCTAAATCTTGTTTGGTTCAACCATTGCTCATGATACATCTATCACAGTATCAGGTCATACTACTCAGTATTCGTACTCAGTAACTTAGTATTCATTGTTAGCCATAAAAGTAACCATATCCACAATACATCCATGGTGTATTGTGGATATGGTTTCTTTTAATACTTAACTATACAACTCGATCCATTACGATCAATCCACATGCTACCCCCCTCCCACCCTTCAGAATTTCGGACTTTCGAAACATCAGCCATAACCGATTATAACGCCAGACCAAAGCACCACAAGGCTAGTTTGACCAGTTACTGAATACCTGTGCCTTTGTGTCGTTCCCTTCTGCTAACATCAGCTTCAGTCGCTCGATTTCTCTCGTCTTTTCGGCGACTTCTTCACGAAGTCTCAGCAACTCAGTGTCTTCCAGTCCCGAGGCAGCCATTTTGATTTAGACTCTTACACTTAAATTTGGGGAATTTTAACATAGCGATAAAGAAATAAACTACCAAAATGAGGGACTCTGTGCCAACAACTTCTCACTCTATGTGTACAATACTGTAATAGTAGATTTGATGTCTACTTAAAGATATCAGCTTATATAACTAAATGATTATCGTTGGCTTTGACATTATATCTCCCCATAAAAAGTAGTTTCGCCCACGTGAACTCCGAAGAGGCAGTGAGATGTTCGTGTGTACAGGTCGTCTGCTACACGTGGCTCGTGTTCTCGCATGTCGAGCACAGATAAAGCAGCACCTGTCGTCGATATCAGGCACTAACAATGGTGAGAAGAAGTTGGCCCACATTTCCCTTGAAGTTTTCATTTTGTGGAAAGTCCATTCCAAACCGACTGTATTCCCGTGTAACGTTATGTCATGTCGTTTCCCGTCGTAAATTGTTCCACTGAAACCTCCGTGGTTTCAATAAGGTTGATTATGTCATTGTGTGCACACACAGAAAGCTCTGTTGTGCTGTACTAACTGGTGAAGTATTGTAGATCGTATCTTAAGATCCTCGGGGGTTTCTCAAATCAAACTACATTTATTCGTTCCCCAGATGACTTGGCGAACGCTATGGGAAAGAGAGCCACCTGGGAGAATTTCTACAAAACGCAGTCTGAACAGGGCACGAAACAGTTCGACTGGTTCGTTGGTTATGAAGAGGTGGTCGACCTAGTCTCTCCTTACCTGCACAAACATAAGAAGAGTCACAATTCGCACGTGGTTGCACTAGACCTGGGGTGTGGTCTAAGCAATGTAGCGCTTAGGATGTGCCTTTCCTCCGAAGAACCCATGAGAATAGTGTGTGCCGACATCGTCATGTCGCCTTTGCAAACGATGCGACAGCAATATCAGTCAACCAGAGGAGTTGTTAGAAATTCGGAGTCACACCTTCTGTTTACGATGGCCGACGCCTCTCAACTTCCGTTTAAAGACAGGTGTTTTGATGTTGTGTTGGACAAGGGCACGACAGACGTTATCATCAGGAGCAGCAGAGGCGGTGATCTGGCGCGGACTGTGGTACAGGAGAGCCTCCGGGTGCTCCGGTGTGGCGGCCAGCTCTTACAGTTCTCTGACGAGGACCCGGACATCAGGCTGACGCTGCTGAATGGCGTGGCAAGCAGAAGTAGAGCTACAGTGACTTTTAAGGAAATTTCCACACCTCATGGAATGGAATATTTCATGTATGTCGTCCAGAAAGAAAGTTAAAGTAACGATAAACGGGTGTACACGTAATAGATTAGATTGAGATGTTACAGAGATGTTGTAACGTTGAAAAAAAACACAATCTAGACATAATAAAATGCTTCAGTTTTAATAGCATTCCATCATAAAGATAATCTTACCCATGGTTTTGCTCATGTAGAATGTTTCTAATGCGACTAAATCTATCCATATGACAAACATTGGTGACATTTGCATTATATACATTCAGAACAATTTCAAAAGATGTCAGTTGCACACTCATTTCTTTTCATAATCTAGACATAATTATCAGCTGTATTGCTCACAAGAAGCAGTCAGGCCATCATATGTAGTCCATTCTTTCTTGTTTGTATTTCTTATTACATTTTTTGTACTTGCTGTATAACTATATTTCCTTGGCACAGCCACCATGATAAGAGAAACATTTTGGCAAATATTCGTCATAAAAGAAGGAAGCGTAAAACTTTCTGTCTTATTTTTGAGCATAAAGTGCCTCGATTTACACTGTTTTTACTCCTTTACAAAGTTACAAGGAATAATATTGTATCCAATTGACGATACCGCTTCCACTTGGACGAAAACGTACATGTCATATTTTGTTTGACGCCCAAACAAACTTATAATACACGTGTCAAAGTTCCAATTCATTAACTTCGTAAAACAGTCATACTTTGTGGCGTCCTCGACTAGGCCCTACAGTCGTAGCAGCAAGCAACGAGGGACGTTTGTAGAATTACCGAAACCATCGTTGCATAGTTGTGCAATTCGAAGAGTTTGCAAAGAGAGGGCGTCCTTCAGCATCAGGAAGTAATGTACAAGGTTAGTTTTCAGCCAATGGTCATATTTAGTTTGAGTAGATGCATGGGGTGGATAGCTCTGCTGAAAACACGTCGGTTGGCTTTAGGTCTATCAAACACCCTATACATGTACTGCTTGACTTTTGTTAGAAACACTTCCTATGAACGACCTTCCCGCCACCCTCGGCGTACTCCTCCATAGTGATCCAACAGTCGGAGAAGTCGGGGTCTGCGCTGAGGATGGACGCGCCGATCCAGGCCAGGTTCTCTCGGTCCGAGGGCGCGTCCAGGTGGAACGTCTCCCCGCCGCTGCAGCCCTTCAGCTCCGACCGTAGCCTCGGCACGAAGCCGCGCAGCTTGGTGTTCCCGCCGTACACCAGGATGTTGTTCCACAGCTGGGGCCGCAGGTCCGTGTCGCAGCTACAGGGAGAACAAGTCAGATGACATTCTTCAGTTACCACAGGAAAATCAGTAACTCCTAAGCAAAAAGGTCACGAACTGTAAGAAGCTGAAAAGAACTTAAAGCGATACTGTCGCAGAGGTTCTTTTGTCCGTTCATTTTACAATTCATCCTTTGTCCTCCCCCTCTCACTTGTTTATGTTGCATGCTTTTGTAAGCGTACCTGTCGATCGCCTGCAGAATGAGTTCGTGCAGCCCCTGTTCGTGAACCCCTGTCTCCTCCGGGCGGAACAGCGGCTCCGTGCATTTGAACCGCTCGTTCCCGATAGAGATCGGGTTGCCGTCGGGCATCGTAAACTCCGTGGGCTCCGACCGGAGGGCCTCGTTCTCTCGGATCACGGCGTCGTAATCTGGAAATCGCCGGACAAAATATTGTGGTTATAACCTGCTGCATAAGCTTGGCCAAAGAAACACACCAAAGTGTAATGACTTCTAGCTTCCAGCTAGCCTCACTTCATATCTGCTGTACTCTTACCGGTGGCGACGAAGGCCATTTGTTGTTTGATCTTCCGGAGGATCTCCATCTCGGAGGAGGATGTGAAGGTGTAGCCTCGCTCAAACTGCAGCAGCCGCCCCAGCTGGTCTGTCACGTGTTTACCGGAGAACAACAACTGGCGTAGGGGAACGAAGTATCAAAACATGTTAGCAAAAATTCATACATTAATAAATTAAGCCCCTTGAGGTAGACTCTATTAACTCTTTTTTTGTCCAAATCTCTCAGATCTGCCCCCACCAGAAAGTGACATTCCGCCTTTGATTTGGTTTGGGTTCCATGGGCCAAAAGTCAGATTTGTTACCTTCCCTTCCTAAAACTAGGCGAAATTATGTGATCATGATTTCACAGGAAAACTTCTGTTGACCTTTCTTGACGCATGCTCTATGCAGTGGCCCTCGTACACAGGCACCACCTCGGTGACGCCGTGGCCGCTGCTGACCACCAGTCCCGTGGACTTGCCCTGGGCATGGAGAGCCATGGCCGCCTGCTTCACCAGGAAAACTGCCGGCACATCAAACGCCTCGAACAGAACCTGGACATCCATACAAAGAGAACAATATCATTGGTTTATTATTTCAAACACACGGTTCAAAACGTAATCATATACAAATACAGCGCCATCACTTGGCAGCCACTAAGGCTGAATTGTGTGATTTAGGGCGTTAGACAATTACTAGTAAGTAAAATCCTGATCGTCATTCCATGTATTAAAACAGTGGATAACAAATATCATTTGTTATCCACTGAAGTATAAACAAGAGATTTATACTACAGCCTACAGCACTCCAGGAAGGCATGGGACATAGGAGCGATCGTACAGTGTACAGCATTTTTCTTCTTACATGTTTGCCAAATGTACATTTTTTAATCGTTCGGCATTTTCTGGAAAGTTTCTGTCACTCTGGATTCTTTCCGTAATTTTGTACGTTTCGGTCAACTTTCTGACATTCTCCTGAATCTTTTTCTCTGTCACTTTTTCGCCATTTTGCATTTTTGTCCTGTTAATCTGTATTTTTAAAGTCACGCCAGCGATTGAAGCGGATCCAAGACCTGTTTTGAACCTCACCTGCAGGTGCCTCTCCCTCTGTTCTCTCGGCATCGCCGTGGTGTCGGTCACGATGACCGGCCGGTCACCCAGGCTCTTCCCCAGCTCCGAACGGGTCACGTGGTCCCATACTGCCTCCAGGTCCCGCCAGTTCTTAACGCTTCCATCTAAGACAAAGGAAATGATTATGAAAATAATTCAAGCGTTTGTCCTGCTCTCAAGTGCAACAACACACGTTTTAAGACAGAAAGACAGTTTGAATTTACACATGTTCGGATCGGCGGTTTCTAGTACACTAGTACATGTACTCGTACATACACTGCAGCAATGCTAATTTCAGAATTGATGTTTCTGCATCTGACGTACCAACTAAAGAACAAAGATGGCTGTCAAGTCAGTCACTACAGGTAAGGACTATGCATCAGCACTCCTTGTAAGCTATGGGCTATCATGTCGATGCTGCTCAGAGACCTAAACAATTTTGTAGCCTAAACAATATCCTTACCGTGCATGGGGTAGTCGAACGTCAGGCGCCCCTGACTGACAATGGCGTCGTCTCCTATGTATTTGTCATCATCACTGGTGTACAGCTCGTTGTAGTTTCCTCTCATCCTGCCGATCACATTCCTGATGTTAGCTGTAGGGGAGAAGTCACCAGCGACGCCAGCCTTGATGCTGTAAGACCCGTTATCCAGCACAACAGCGTCCAGCAGGTCTGGTCCCAACTGCTTAGTCCCAAGTTTGACGCTAGGAGGAGCTGATAAATAAGGGCCATATGGATATTTAGTGAAGGTGACAGGTTGGTTCTTGGATATTGGGCGATGTTACGTTCCCATGCGTTCCCTACTAAGTTGAAACAAACCATTGAATAGGATCATAGTGACAAAATAAGTATGGGTAAGAAACGCGCTTATAGTCGGTCGAAAATAAGTCGAAAAGACAACAGAGAACCAGAGCAATAACTCACCCCTCGTCGGAGCCCTCATCTTGTTGTGATCAGAGAAGTCTTCCAGCCTGTCCTCAATGTAGCCATTGTGTCGCACAGGAGGAGAATCCACATCGTCAATGAACTTGGCCTCCTCTTTGGGAAACCTCGCAGCCTCCTCCTCCTCTTCTTCTTCCTCGTCCTCATCTTCGAAATCGCAGAAGTCATCGTCGTTCAGCAGGTCGTCTTCCAGAGACTTGAGCCAGGACCCTGCAAGACAAACGGGTGCATGCGTTCGAACTGGGCGGTCTATCATAGACTGCTTCACTGCTGTTATCATTGTTGTTGCTCCTGTTGCTGTCGTCGAAATTATCGTGAGGCTTTTCTAGTATGCTGCTCTAGCGATTGACAACACGCAAGCGAGTTTGGCTTTGAACCTGGACCATCGACATCGCGCACACCCGGTTTTATCTGACAGCAAAGCAACAGAACGTCTAGTCAGCACAGGCTGCACATTAGGACTACAGGTAACCACTTGCAACTACGGTACACAAGACACACAGAAAGATGTCAGGGCTAACTTCTTGCATGACTTGAGGCCAGCGGTGCCTGAAACGTTTTATTTTTCTTGTGAACGCCGTGTTTTTGTAACTCCAGTCCTAATTTGCTTGTTCAAGGGAAACACATTTTGTTTGGATACTACGGGCAGCAGTCAATTCTACATGCCGAACTCTAAACAGCTTTATACATTGGTTCTATGCTGTTTCATATCTGTAATACGATACCATTTGAAATACGATACTAACAAGAAACGTACAGCCAGACCAGATCTGTGATTCATTCGATTTTAACACGGCCATGACCTCGGCTTGTTCGCTGTCTTTCAGCATGTCTAACAAGGTGTTTTCATACCGTTTTTCAACCTGACAACCTGCTCGATTTGTCCTTTTGCAAGTGAACAAGTCCGCTAGACAGATGAAAGCCGGAGGCCATCTGATGCCCACAAACTGCAATGGTGTCGACTTTCCTGTTGTTCTTTTCCCTGCTGAAGTGAGCAGGGTTGTGTACCTTTTTGTCCGACCTAAAAGCCCGTTCCGCATTACATTTTGAAGTTGTTTTCCTTGCATTTTTGACTCAGATCAAGACAAATCTAGATGGGTCCAGATCCCATCATACCTACTGATTGTGACACTTGCTGTCCAGATTTGTTGCCCTTCTACGTCTGTGTTAGGTTATGACGTATTGTGTGTAGCCTCCTTCGCAGTCTTGTTGGGCGTGGGCGTAATTTTTTCTCTGAGCGACGCTAGTAATATGCGGCCGCGAGGGACGATTTGCTGCCGAGGGACTTTTGCCACGGAGAGAAGGTTTCCGCGCTCCAACACACGCCCACGCCCAACAAGACTGCGAATGAGGCTATATTGTGTGGTTCTTGGATTTCCATGTATTTTGATTGTTTGCAAAATTATTAGCTCTAGCGAAGTTGACCGACATGAGCTGGAATTAAACCAGAGATTAATGTCATTATTCCAGCCGTTCAATCACCAAGCATAATATAACGTTATGTGTAGTTTTCTTACGTGTTCATGTCGTTCTGAGCGTCACAATGTCTCGCTGTGACAGTGAGATCCTCTACAGCGGGACAGAATAAACTGCACAACAGAGTTCCCGCCAGAGCAGGTCCAGTTTTCCCCTACTGGTTTATCCACACTCACGCCCCCTCCCGTCATGCCATTGATAGGTTCTCTATAAACTACATCCCTGCTTCGGTATGACGATTAGTAACCCATCCCTCTCCAACCTGTCACCACCTCGGTGCGTGGGAGATCCTTGTGTTACACTGATATTTCTCCGAGCTCAACACGGTTCATACTTTAGTAAATCATCATTCCTGTAGTGCAGACCCAGTGCAGTGAATCTCTTCTACCAATGTCAGTGCAACACTAAATCGAAGTTCCACTCGGCCAGCCGACTCGACTCTGTACCAGATTAGCTTAAAACTCGAGGATACCACAGTCACATACCTAATGACCCAGATTCGGGCTTAATTTAGTGGGATATATGGGGGTAAAAATGGCACCGACTTTTGGACTTTTTCTTTACCAGAGAATTGGATGTGCGTAGGCAATTCTAGGCTTGACCTGAATGTTTCATATCATGAAATTATACCGTTGCCACCGTGCCATTGCATGGTCATCACAGAATTATGGGACTAAACCGCACTCTTACAACCAGATGATAGTTTCCATGCAACAGGTTTGTTATCTTTGAAGCAGCTGATGTAGAGATGTCCGAGATGCCGATTTGACCGCGCAACAACAGCTGTCACTATGGTAACGCCGACGCCGGCCATGTTGTCGTGCCACCCCTCTCCTGTTCTCGGAACTGAGCCGCAAACAGCACTTATATTTTAAGCCGGCGCTATTGTGTTACATATCGTTTGCAAATATCGGACATGCCAAGTGCAGCCTGCCTAAAACCACAAAGGGGTGGCGTCAGTGGGGAAGAATTTCCTCTCTCATATTTGTTGGTGCCTTTCAGACATGTTAGAAGGTCCCAGGCGACAGCCTGCATGCACTTTGTACTCTACACAAACGTATCACAAACAGCCGCTGTTCAATCTCCCAGTCCACTCACAACTCAGAAAACGTGTTAAAGAACTCGCCACACAACCTGCTGACAGAAGTGAAGTGTCGGTACGTGACCGACGTCAAATCTGGTCGGAGTTAGGGGGTCAGTCTGGGCGGGAGGGGTTAATCTCCAAGCAGATGTATGGCTTTTGCTCATTTTTGGTACGTCTGTCTGCAGTGTTTCGAGTGTCACATTTTCCCTTTGTTCTCCTTGGCCTATTTTCATGTGAAAGATATACAAAACGCCACAAAACACTTTGAAGCCTTAAATCTGCCAGGGGGAATAGGGGCAGGTCACAAGACGATAAAGACTGGGTATCAGCTGTTACGCCCCAGCCGGTGCGAGCATGCTTGTCGTGCATTGTGCCGATTTGTGGACGTTCTCTGACCTGCAGCACTTCGTTAACAAAAGATTAGGATAGCTTACATCAGAGACAGGGAGTAACTACAGCAGCGGCACACGAGCAAGGCACGACAAGGGACGGGCCACAGAAACGGACGGCATGCATGGCATACCGAGTCGCACAGAGATAATAGCGGTGCGAGCCAGTCTCCACACACAGCTCAGAGACACCCGCTTCAATCGGCTAGAGAAGGGCGAGGAGACTACAGAAAAGAAAAGCAAACATGGCAGATAAAGAAATAACAAACGTTGACAAACTACACAAAGGAACTCTACATTTCAGTCCGTCGAGAAAAGATAAATAATACTAAACATCGTGTGTGGGGAGAAATGGCTCATTTCTGGAAACCTGGAATTTGTGAACATAGAGAGAAGTATCGAATATGTCGTACTACCAATTTCATGTATACGACCATGTCAACTTCGCGGTTTGTAGTTATTTAACATATTTCACAGCCTTTGCGTGATCTATTAAAGAACTTGGCCCGCATGATCTATTAGTATTATGTCTGAATATTTATATCAGGTCGAGGTGACATATCTTCTATTTCAGTTTGACCTAATCGTCTGGCTCCTTTCAGCAATCATCTCGAGTCATCCTTCAAAAAGATTTCGCGCTTCGAGTCAAGGCGTTCCTATTTCCCTCTTATTACTGTGGTCATTAGATTAGACATAACTCGCAGCTGGAATATTTGTATCACAGCGTCGATATCTAGTTCATGGACAGTTTGCGGTGGACAGTGTTTGGGCAATTTGTGACCTTTTGCTCAGTACATGTTTACTTAATGTGTTGTAACAACAGGTTGACCGGAAAAGACTGTAGCAACAAGTAAATGGTGAACGATTATGGGAAACTTTTCCAACCACAATGTCTTCTGTTGTGTCTTTTTAAACCTCATGGCCGCGCTTACCTCACAGTGATGTAGGTCTGAACAAAACTTGACAAAATTCTGTGGAGAGACGGCTGGATTTGGAGAGCAACGCTGCAGATCAATATAATACACTAGTGTTGATACTTCTGTAGCCACAACGTTGCGACTTAGATTTTTGATCAAGAACATTCGCAGGGCTGGAAACGTTTAGTCTAGTTAAGTAGTGGCGACTTCTTCTCAGTACCAAATACAGAACTCAACGTTGGTGCTGCCGGAGGGACCGCAAGCACCGTGACAAACGGCAGCGGCAAACGGGGTCACGACCTGGCCCTGCACCGTCGGGGAACATGCAGTCCGCCGGGCTACGGGCCTTTAATAGGTTAACTGTGTCATATTACTTCTGCATTTATCATATGATGCTCCGGGCAATTAGGCTAACGATTAACAAGTAGCTTTTGTTCTATATGCACAATGCAGTGTATGTGTATTCACGTGACAGGATTTTCTTTGCTATGAAATTCGTCTGCAAAACGCCGTTGTGTATTGTAGTCTGCTGACCGTATTTCATGTCAGCCGCTGCCGAGTTTGGGCGCGCTGACTTCCTGTCTGAACGGTTCGCTCATATCCTTCCCCTCTTGAAACACAACCTGACACACAAGGCCACCAAACACAAGTGCAGTAGCTCGTTCGTAAGGTTTTCTATCGAACGTGCATTTTGTGTAGAAATTATGCACCGTTTTTCTAGTGTCCTTCCCCATTACAACAATCAATACACATCGCACAAGTCTGGTGACCCAATACTAGTAACACGTATTGTCACCCACCTTTCTTCTGCTCAGGTATTGTCCCTTTTGTCGGTGTTCTCGGAATAATGGCCTGCTCACCTTCCGACAAGTCTCCGTCGTGTTCGCTGCCTGTCGTTGACTGGACTCTTCCACATGTTTCTGGTAGTTCTGTTCTCCGGCTTTCTACTGAAGCTGTGTGATCGTAACTCTCCGAACCGGACACGTTTTCTTGTTTGCCCAGCGGCGCACCGTCTGTTTGTGCACTATCATGTTGTTTTTTCTCGGCGCTCTCTTCCTCTTTAACAATACGAGTAGGGCCTTTCTTACTCTCCCCAGATTCTCGTCGAAAGAACCAGACTAGGAGAGGGATCCCGAGTAGCAGAGAACAGATGACAGGGACCGCAGGCAAGTCCAGTATTCCCGACGTCGTGTCCGACATGTTCTCAGCGGGACTCGCGCGCTGTAATAGCCGGGTTCAGACAGGAAGCGGACCGCGGCAATGCTGTGTCGTCACCTGCTTGTGTTTCCGTGTATGTGAGACCGATCCACCACACGCAGGAGTAAGTTGTTGTCAGCAGAACACGCAGGCTGGTACCGCTTCAGAAGCTGACGTCACACGCCCTCCAGGCTGTAAACCGAACCGTGAAAAGTTATTAGCGACATGTCCCCAACCAATTAAACCTCTCCCTACCAGCGCTGGCAACCACTGACCCTTTCGCCACGCCTACTCAACAAATAGATTAGCTAACAGCCATTTGAATATTTGGCGGGGAAGGGGGCATGCATTGTTCTGTGGGCCGAAGCCGCCGAATTACAGTGGAAAATGTTTACATTGCCAACACTCGTCTATCTGTAGACCATAGACTTTCAGAGAATGGCAGAGGAATGTAGTCGGCCTATGAGTGGAATAGCTGCTTTATAGAAATTGTGAATAATAATCATTCTCTCGCATATACATGTAGTCACATAAATGCTATCAAAATAGCATACAGTCCATTATACAAAGATAAGATTTAAATGAACTATTATTATACATGTCTTAAAATCAGGTGCAAGACGTGACCACGACACAGGCCAGGTTGTGAGCCCTTGTCAGGTTGCCGGCGATGATGTGTCCCGGGGTAGACTAACATGGGGAGAAATAGGCCAGACTCATTTTCTAAGGCTCAAGAAAGCTCTGGGTTCAGCCCAGCAGACTGGCTAGGGTTAGTTTTTCCTGGCTAGTGACTCTCTATAATATGCCTACACCAACGCACCACTACTCACTCGCGCATAGCACAGCACAAGGGCCCCACTCACAGCGGATCCACCACCTCACTGCAGAGGAATTTTCCGACTTATCAAAATGACTGAAGGGTAACAGGCCCAGCAGCACACGATGATCCGGTACACAGAAAGGGTTACACCAGCCACCGTTTATAGAAGACCACATCTGAAAAACTGACCCGAGAGATACTCACCTTGACCTTCAACACAACTTCACCTTGATCTCCGGCTCGTGAACAACTAGATTTAGGCTATCGTGTGAGGCAAAAACTCGCGCCAAAACATGCCACACAGACGGCCACAAAGACTGGTTATTTTTGGCAGCGGCTCAACCAGGTTTTACACGTAGGAAGAGTTTTCGTTTCAATTCCCCGAACATGTTTCCATGCCATGTTACGTTCAGGGGATTTTGAATGGAAGTCAAGGAAGCCTTTGTCTGGACCCGGGAATTTTGCATCTGGAAAAGATTTGGAAGCAAATCACTTGCTACCAGACTCTAACTACGCTGGCTATATATAGGAGAAAAATTGCCAGGGGAGTTTGGCCGCCTCGTAGGTTTGACAGGTAGTTTCTTTCGGAGGGAAAGAAACTACAGCACAAATGCCTAAGCCTTCCAGTACGAAAAATTATACACTTCGAGCCTGTACCTGCAGGTACATGCTCGAAGCCTGTACCTGCACTATTGGTCACTTTTGTCCTATAACTGTTAGTTTAATAGATTAGAAATTAAGAAAATTCACGAATTCACGAACTTTGATTGCAACAGGCTTTTTCTTCTGAAATTGGTCCTATAACATGGGGTGCTGCAACCTGGGACGTCCTCTAACTTCATAATCTTCATAAGGAAGAGTCATTGTGCTGTGAACTAGATTAATGATGTTTTCTCCACTACTATATATAACGTTACATTTGTGTAATAGAATGCTATTAGTTGGTGTCTAGGGTACTGCAAAATATCGGTAGCTAATATTCTTCACGTTACGTTACATTGATTTGTATTTCCATCCGAGTGGAAGTAAAATGTGACTGTGATTCAAGTTGTAGACCTACTAGTATTTTGGCCAACTTACACGTTAGTATAAATGCTAGGGTACTTCTGGAAACTCTGTGAAATACTGTATTCACCTAATGAAATCTAATGAAAAGAGATCATCACGCACATTCCCATTCAGATGGGTATCAACCCCAATTGTTGAATGCTACCATTTCAGCACTATGCAGTCTTACAAATTTATTTTGTAGTTCTTACGTTTTATGTTGAGTTTGTGGTTTTTCACAAATTTGGTAATGTCCAAGCGGATGTGGGGGTGGAAGATTGTAACAATTTCAGACAGCAGGGCATCTCTGACAGCCGGGGATGTAAAATATACTAGTACATGATACAGAAGCCGAAGGAACCGGGCCGGGGCATCTCTACAGGAATATTAGGTATGTAATGATAAGTAGAAGCGCTAGATGTCGCTTTTGGGTTGAGGCGAATGAATGATGTCAAAGGTGAAAAATACCCATGATGCAGGATGGTGACATCACTTCCGGGAAGACCCGCCTCATGACTCAGAGTCTCGCCGTGGTCTCAGTCAGTGGAGGCTAAATATTTTCAACTTTTACAGCGATCGTAGGGAGAGAAAATCCTCACGATGTTCAGTTGGATGAAATCTAAAGACTCGGACGTGCCCCAGGTCTACGGGAATGTCGTGGAGGGGCTG